AAATTTCAGGAAGGGGGAGAAGTGCTGGAATGTAACTGTGGATTGTGCATCCCAGGTCCCTCTGCCATCCCTTCCTGCCAAGTGCCAAGTCCAGTGCATCCATTGTGTGCTCACATGTCTTCACTTCAATAGCTCCCCATGGGCTTGCTCCTACTTTCTCTAGGTCTCTGCATTGTCACCCCAGGGCCAGCTCTCCTGGAATAGCAAGAAATGGGGAAGCGGGAGGTAGGCACCACAGCCCACTCATATGCTCCAATCCCTCCTTCCCCCAGCAGTCAGTGAGCATCCGTAGTAGTGGGCACTGAGTGAAGGGAAGCTGCCCAGAGCCCACAGGGTGGCAGATAAGCCAAGTGTAATGGGGGCAGACTGCATGGCAGAAATTCTGACTGATGACAGTCACAGAAAGCATCCCACTTTGTGAAGCTTGTGCCCTAAGCACCTAAGAACGTAGAATAAGTGACACTGCCAATTCCAGACTTAACTTTTAAAGGCCTGGCAGCTTTGCTTCCCTGAGATGCCAGCTGAGGTCAAAAGTCCAACTACCAGAAGCCCTTCATGCTTCTTCAGAACAGAAGACCAAGCAGCCACTGGGAGATGGAGACACAGTGATGCTGGCACACCCAGCCATCCCGCTGTGGGTGGCTCACAGATGAATAAAGGAGCAAATGTGGACGGACATTCCAGTCCCTGAAGACCTTCCCAGTTTAGCTCAGCCCAGATGGTAGAATCATGAGAAATAATAAACTCTTGTGGTGCTGAACCAACATATTTTGGGACCTTTGAACACACAACAATAGCTATCTGAAAGAGGGCTGAGTCCTGAGTGAGGAGCGGGACACAGAGTTTGCAAGAGCCAGGTAAAGGAACACAGGCAGCCTTGCTTTGAGGCCCAAGAGATTAAAAATGAGGGAGCTAGGGCTTGGTGGAGAGAAGAGTCATCGATACTTCAGGGGTTTGCAGCTTGGGGAGGAGACTACAAGCCAAGAAGGAACAGCTTTCCTGGAGTTCAGGGGCAGTGGTGAGAGGCCGCCTCGGGGGAGCTCATTGCCGGAGACATCTAGAAGCTGCAAGTGGGGGAACTTAAACTAGTGAGGACTGTTGACAACTTATACGAGGTGTGTCTAGGGACTCTCAGGGGTGATCAGTGGAGATACTGGCTAAGGCCACCATGGTGAGCAGAACCGGGAAAGGCCAAGAAGTCTCAGTTGTTACTGTCATTGGACTTCCTTTGTGCCCACTGGCTCGTGTGGCCTCTAGAAACACAAGTAACAACAGGAAGGCCTGAAAATGATAGCCAAGAAAATGAATTTCAACATTTATGTGGCTTCCCAGGACAAGGTGGCAGACTCTGGAGAGAGCTGGTGTTTCCACAACTGTGGGCAGAGATGGGCCCAGAGAACCACTGTTTTTTATTTTTATTTTTTACTATAATCCTGTCCTTGTTGTGATCCCCTGGGTCACTGTCTTCTAGACTGGAGATTTGGCAAGGATTTTACTGAAAGGATTTTGCTAAGATGTCCAAACCCTGGGTTCTTTCCATGTAGGACCTGATTTTCCAGCTCCTCCCAGGAACAAATCTGCCTCTGAGCCCAAATTTTGGGTCTAGGAAAGAGGTGCTTTCTAGAGCCTAAAGGCCTCTAGAGACAAGCAGAGACAGGCCATCAAGAAGCCAGAAACTTCAAAAGGAGCCATGGTCTGTTCTGGACCACAAGGGGGGTAGAATGAGATTCTATAGATAGTTACAGGGCTCTGGGCCAGGATGCCAGGTAGGACCATGGCTACTACCCACACAACTAGCAAAACATCCAATGATATCAAACCAGTTAACGATCGAGACACAGCTCAGAGTGAAGAGGGAAAGCATTTGTGACTGATCAATTTGATCTACCCAGGGCTAAGGGACAGAGGCAAATTGTGTGTATGACTGCAAACACTTACAGTCACTTCCTGTCTGATGCTGGGTCCTCGGCCAAAGGGGCTCTTTGCCTCCCTTGTTCCTTCTCAGTTCTAAGGCAGAGTGAGAGAGATAGTAAGCAGCTGAGCAGCAAGGAGACTTTCACTCATGACACAACCCTCCTTCATCAGAAGGAGTCCCCAGTGAGTGCTTCCTAGCAGCTTCTTCTCCATTGCTAAGCTGTCCCCCTTGTCCTCAAGGAGGTCTCTTTTAGGGTATACATTGCTTCCAAGCCTGGGGTTCTGCCCAAGGCCAAGCTGGTCCATACCCTCCAGCTACAACCTCAGCCTCCACCCCTAGCCTCCCTGCTCCAGCCTCATCTGCATTTAACATGCCTTGTTGGGCTGTGGCAGAGAATACTCGACAGACTCATATTAAAAATGCCCTTTTAAAATTCAAAAGCTTTGAACTAAAGAAATACCTCAAGAAGTTTTCATGGAAAGTTCAGCTCTGCTGGTTCAATTCACTACACTTAGATGCACCTTTTCAAATAATAGGGAAAAAATGTAACAGGGTCAGACCCAATCAATATGCTTGTTCAAACAGAATTGCGGGGACTGTGATGTGTGCACATTTTGTGCTCTGCCTTTGTACCCCGCCACTCGCTCTGAAGAAAGGTTTCTTTGCTAGGGGAGCAATGAAAGTGGTAGCCTTTTGAGTGGAGGCGGCAAAGCAATGGTGTGTTTACCGCGCCGGGAGGGGCTGCCATTTTTCATGTCTTCCCCAGCCTGGTCTCTTTGTTCTTTTCATAACGACATGCAACCCACATTGGCAAAGTCCCTTGCACAGCTCAGCATCTGATGCCGAGTCTCAAGCAGAGGGCTCCCAGGATTGGCCTGTCATGTCTCAGAAATATGATTTGTGGATTAGACAAATAATTTGCTTCTTTTCCCACCCTTGGTGAGAACACAAAAGGACTTATCATGGAGTACTGCACCGCAGCGGTGGGAAACTCCCAGAGCCCCAAACAGGCTCCCGTCAGACTGAGACTGTGTATACCTCTGCCCCTCTCCAAACACTTTCCCTGCCAAAGCTGACCCCCAAAACCTTCAAGCCCCTGGAGAATGTCCCTGAACAGACAGATGAATCCCTGGCCTTGGACAGTCAATTAAAACAGCCAGGAAAATTCTGAAGAATCCAGCTTACCTGAAGGCAGCCAAGATCTCAGAGGGAGGGGAGGGACCTGTTATAGCTTACACAGCCCCAATCGGACACTAAGGCAAGCAGAATGGACCGCAGGCAAGGAACAAGGACCTTCTTTTCGCATCCACAATAGTCTGGGACATCTACTTCACATGTCTTCAAAATGTATGTATAAGCATAATCATTTAAATGATGTCCCAGACAGGTTGAGAAAATTGGCAGTTCTGGAGATTCAAGTGGGGATTAAGGAAAACAAGATTTTATTCCTAACTCCTATTTAAGACTAGATCCTAAAATACTCTTGTTGGTTCATGCTAAAGACACATATCCTGGCGCCATCCTGGGTCTGGGTTAAAGGAATTAAAAATTCAACAAGTGGAGCTAGGCATGGTGGCCCACGCCTATAATCCCAGCAACTTGGGAGGTGAGATAGGAGGATTGCAAGTTCAAAGCCAGCCTCAGCAACTTAGCAAGGCACTTGCAAGTCAGTGAGACTCTCTCTCAAAATATTTTAAAAGGGCTAGAATGTGGCTCAGTGGTTAGGCAACCCTAGGTTCAATTCCAGGTACCAACGAATAAAAATAAAAATTCAACAAGCATATTCATGTCCCTTTGTCAACTGCAATTCCAACGTTTAAAATTTGGCTCAGGCCCTGGGGCTCCCTGTAAGTGAAGTTGGAATTACTGGGCCACATGGAGTTCCCCGGAGTTGTCCTCACCCTGAAGTATGCCTGGTCAGCCAGTGCTATCACAGATGGCTATATCTTACCTCAGGTATCCAGAGTCCTCTTGAAGGGTTGAGAAGGGCGAGGCCATGCTGCCTCTTACACACAGGTAGCTGGGATGTACCTTTTATGAACCACGAGTGCTTTCGGATGAGTCTGAGCTGAAGGCCTGTCCCTCTTCTCTGCAGACTAAAATGTGGGCCATGATTCTCATAGAGCAGGCTACAACTCCTTGCTGATGGTGTACTCTGGAAACAGCAGCTATAGAGAGTTGCCATGTTCCTTCATACACAGCATTGTATGTGTGAAAGAGAAACAGACCAAGAGAACAAAAACTGTTGACATGTTTTCACTGAGAAAATGTCTACCGATGGCTACCCTGTGAGTTGGGTATTGCCTCCTGTGGGTTTGTGTTTGTTTTTATTTTTGTTGGGAGGCCACTGCACTCAGTAATGGAATTATCCCCCAACCCTATCCCTTTCATCGGTTATGGTGACATCGCCAAGTAATGTTTAAAACTAGAGTATTTTTTTCAAAATTAAAAAATAATCAGTGGCTAAAAAAGCAGCAGCATTCTTTGTCCAGAATGCCTTGGAATCTACTTTTCCCAGTTTAAATAATCAGAAAGTCACCCCAAACCTTGGATTCTCTTCTTGGCAACGTAGAAAAACTGCCATAACAACAATCCTGGAAGTGGACACATCCCTCGACCAAACTGGCCTCTTGCCTTCTGTTTTAAGCATACATCACAAGTCAAAATGAATTAAATACAAATCTAGTTTGCAATGGTCCGTCACTAACCCGCTTCATTGGAAGGAGCCAATGGCATGTGGGTTGGAAGGGGGCCTGTGGTGTCCCCTGTGCTATCTCAGATTGGATTGCAGTCTGCCTGCCAAATCAGCCCCACACGGGAGTCCACAGCCTGGCGGCTCCTAGACTGGGTGAGGTGGGGGCCACCGGAGCAGCTGCTAAGTCCAGCCAAGGACTGAGACGCCAACCCTCCTTTCCTGAGACTTCCAAAGCCAATCAAATGTCAAGGAACTGTCATCAGGAGAGGATTTTCATAGGTGAACATAAGCAGGGGTGAGAGCTAAGAAATGAGGACTTTCCCAAGAAATGGAAAAAAATTACCACCACCACTTGTGAGAGAACACAGCCAGCAAGAAACAGGAAACATATCAGGTTAATATTTTAATCTGTACATCACATTTTTTTTTTTTGCAAACCATCACACCTTTATTTAAATTAACTTCTTCTTGCAAAATAGTCATTTCATTTTTTTTCAACAAAATCTTATAAAGGCAAAAATAAAATTTTATTTTGGCAAATGTCACGAAGTTGATACTGGCAGCATATGGAGTTAGTTAAAAATAGATAGCAACTTCTAAATATATTCAAGATTTTTGTTTGTTTTTCTGAGCATAGTTAAATTTTGATCTAAAGTGTGGCTCCACCCAATGGAGGTTTTTGTGTCTGTTTTTTTCCTTTTAAACATCATTTTCTGTATAGAAAATATCATGATATAACTTAAATAAAGGATCATAAACACTGCACCTGGCTTGGTAGCCGCCTCCTCATTTGGGTCTGAAAGTCAAGTCCAAGTCCTGCCATGGTGGCCCCACTGGTGACAGGCCCATTGGGGATGGTGGAGAGCACATTGCTTGTTCTGTTGCTACCAGACCCAAGTCCTAGAGCAGCTGACCTGGGGCTCTCCAGGGCAGGCAGCCAATGTTCCCAACACAGCCTGCCTGAAGGGAAGCATTCAGTCAGGGATTTTCAGACAGATGTCACCTAGTGTGGAGCTTATTGCTACAATACAAAAAAGTTGATTCATCTTACCTTTTCTGTACCTCAAAATGAATGTGTATGTGTGTGCATGTATATATATATTTTTTAATAAATTGCTTTTCTTCTGAGAAGAGCCCTTTGCTAAGGGAGCCTCCTGGGCAGGTTGGAGAGGCCAAAGCTCTTGATCACACTGTTGTCCTTAAACCAAAACCAAGGGTCAAGTTGTAGACTTGGGTTCCCCATGCATACTGGTGGAGTTTCACCCAGAGCTGGTCATCAGGTCAGGTCAAGTCAGGGATGGCTCATCTCTGCAGCCAAGGGGCCCTCTTTTCTCAGACAGCATGCCAACAAGATTAATGCTGGAATCCACAGGAAGCACACTGTCAATCCAACTTTCCCCTGAGTTCATCAGTAGTTGGGACTGACCTCTGCTTGCCCTGCCTTTATCCCCACCACCCACACTTACCATCCCAACAGTACCTGAATCTATATGTGCAGCAACAAAATCCTGCATCCTCACCTTTCCAGCCACTCAGCCCTTGAGGTGAACATTATAAAATATATTCTGATCCTAAAATACAGTGTCAGTATTTTACAGTGTATATCAAAAGTGCTTTTTGTTGCTTGTAAAAAGGAGTCTGAATTGAAAAAGTAGTGTGTGTTAGGACTGAGCCCCATAGGGATTGTCCCATGATTGGTGGACTGCTCCTTCTTCCAGCCAGAACCCTTGCTCAGCTGGAAGGGGTTTCCATGGGGGCAGAAAAGCCGATCTCCTGGGAGAAAGTTGATTCCACTGGGCTCCTGGCTCCAGGCTTTTCCTCTGCACAATGGGTCACGGTTCTGTCACTGCCTGGGCTGGCAAACAAACAAACAAACAAACAAAAAAAAACCAAAAAAAACCCCATGAGATAATAAGAGGTTGTTGGGATCCCTCCTCATGTCTGGAAAGTAGGCAGTGGGCATGTCTGTGCACACACGACAGAGGATGGCAGACAGGCTTGACAGAGCAGCAGAGCACAGGGCTTAGGCAATGTGGCCGCTGCTGAGGGACCACTGGCTTCTAGGACTCTTTGGCTCTGGGCTTCACCCTGTCTCTGCTTCTAGGAAGTACACCAGACACATGCAGGTCCCTAAACTGGATCTCTGTGCAATAGAGCAAAGGACCTGGGCAAGACTCGGGGGTCCATTTATGGCCCTGCCCTTCATTCATTGAATAATTCTGTATTACTCAGCCTCTGTGGGCTGTTTTTCTAATCTAAAAATAGAGGATCATACCACCCTCCAAATGAGGCAGTGAGGGGAAGAAGAATATGGATGTATTATAAAAAGAGCATTCAAGGCCTATAACACCCCAGAACCCCAGAGTGGGTAAAGCCTCTTTCCTATCTCTCTGCCTGTGTGGTATTTTCTCTCTCAGATCTCTAGGAGGAAACCACACCCTACCATGTTCCTGGAAGGCCCCTAAAGCATTTACAAAGGACCCAGCTGAAGCATCTCCCCAGGATTCCTAGTTCTGGGCTTCCTCACCACATCTGAGTGCCAGGCCCAAGAAGGCTGACCTCTTCCTTCCACCCTCAGGCAGACTTGGCCAGGGAACCAAAACCTAGGGAATGCCCAGCTGGAGGACCTCTGCCAAAATCATATTTCCACCTGTGACAACACAAGTAGTGTCCCTCACTTCCCTCTCTTCAGACATCTAGCGCTCCTGGGGTGGCCCAGACAAGTCCATGAGTGGTGATGGAGAACAAAGGCTCTGGACTACACCAAAGGGCTTCAAACCCTGAAACTTACAAGCTGCGACTCCTTGGACAAGTCCCTCAAGGTCTCTGAGCTTCGTTTTCTCATCTGTAAAATGGGGGTAAATATCTTCACAGGGTTGTTGTATGGGTCAAAAGAGACGTTTAGCACAATGCCTGGCAGATAGTAGGTACTCAACAAGGTTAACTATAACAAATATTAAAGGAAAGAGAGGGGAATACTTTGCAAAATGACAGTGAGATGGACTGTCAGGGGAGGAACCAGTAAGACCTCTATCTGATCCTTCCCTGTCCATGTGAGGCAGTAACTGGCACAGGACATGAGCCCACTCAAAACCCACCAGACGTGGGCCTCCTGGTTCCTGGTCCAGAGCACATTCTCTACCCCATGCTGCATCTCACCACAGGGAGTGTGAGTGGGTGGTGCCAGACCCCCCCCCCCCCTGACTGAGAGCCAACTGTATGTGGCTCTGGGCCTCTCTAAGTTGCTAAGTGATTAAAAAGGCAGTCCCAGTCCTTGCTCTGACATCAATGCTGTGTGACATGGAGTGCACCCAGCCTGCTTGTGCGCTGGCCTATCTGGCCTTTTTCTAGTCTTGCAGTTCTTCAATTTCTTTGGTTAAAGCCTGAAAGGCCAAGATCTAACTCTTCTTTTTCCAACCCCCAAGGCTGGCAGCCACGGTCTGTGCTGGTCTTTGGGTTGTCAAGTTGCCCTGAGGAAGGAAAATAAGATGTGTGGAGTGAGATTTCAGGGAGGGAGTGATCCAGGTTGCGGTCTCTATAGTATGGGGGCTACCGAGGACAGAGTACCTAAAAAGCATCAATTCTCCAACCTGCCTACTATCCAGGTGGGTCCCTCCAGCGGCCACTGTGCCAACAGAAGGGAACATCAGCAGGAATCACTGCAATCAGCTCAGCAGGGTAAGGAGTTGGGGGCATGCTTAGCACTAGGAGAGGAGCAGGGAGCAGCGCAGGGGCACATCAGGCAGGGGCTCTTACTTGGAAGGTGTTAGACAAAGGTGTAGTGGAGTCCGTTGCTTAAGGGGGAGTAAGGTGGCACCGTCCTGGAGGACAAGGGGGCTTTAGGCGGGAGGAGGGCCAGCTGCTGCGCTAGATGGAGCACACATGAATTAAGTGATGTTTTAGACTCATCTACTCCTGCAGCACAGACACCCCACTTGGCAGGATTGGGTGGCATGGGCCCTGCTGACCCCCCTAATGACCTGGGCCTGGAAGGATCCAATGCCTGTGATTCCTAATAGGTCCTGAGACAGAAGAGGAAGCAAGAGCAAGGAAAAGTGCAGTTCATTACTGAGCTGGAGGTGAAAAAGGCCACCAACTGACCAAGGATGATGGAGCTGGAGTGCCCAGCTGCTGGTGGTAAGGGAGTTGAAGATGGCAGAATTAGAGCAAGCACAGCAGAGAGGAGGGGCCTTGGGGTGAGGGTAGTCTCATGGGAAGGAGCTCAGAAGTTGCTGAGAGGAGCCCAAGGTCATTAGGAAGAGGGGTCTGGATAGTTGTCTCCTATGTCCTTAGCTGTAGAGCACCATGCTGACCACCTCTCAGCCCTCTCAGCATGTCTTTGAAGGGAGTGAGGATAGCAGGGATTTCAGGGACTCTACAGGGACAAAGAACAGTTTTTTGCTGAGACTATGAGCCCTCTCTTTGTCACGGGTCACTCCCATGGCCCCCTAAGGTCAAAGCAAAGCTCTACTTCCCACACCAGACTCCCCAGGGTGTCAGTCACCACAGGCCCTGAAGGCCCCACCCTTCCATTACTAGATCCTATAGCCAGAGTTGGAAAACCTGTAGAGACTTGTGACACCACTTAAGGTTCTATGACCATCCCCCACACCAGAAAGAGCACCCCTGGTCAGAGGCAGCACCTAGACACACAGAGGTCTCCCATACAGAGAGGAGACATGGGTGGAGGAAGGGGCCAGGAGTCCCCTTTACAAACACATGCACACACCCATGTGCCATGCAAACACACATGGTGATATTTCTTTCCATTTGGCTGTCAGAGCCTCACTTTCCAAGTTCTGCTTTCTGCACAACATGCTCTGATGGGTAAACAGGGAAGAAGCACCAGAGGCTTTAATGCTCTTTCTTCATGAGGAAACAAACCTTAGCCCTGGCCCCTTGGCTCAGTGGCCTGACAAACCTGAAGTCGCACAGCAACACCCTCCCTCCAAGGACAGCACACCCTCTAGTCAGAGTTGGCTCTCAACTGCCAACTTCCACTGACTCCCTGGCTCTGGGACAGGCTGTGTTGGGCCCAAGCCCCAAGGAACAGCAGGTGGGAACTGGGTCTTAGAGGCTGGCATCAGGCCTTACCTGCCACCTGCTTACTACGCTGGGAGGCCTCAGAGGCCAAGGCATAGGAGATGTTGATGATACGCTCCTGCTCTTGCAGCTGCGAGTCCAGGTCGGCCAGGCTGTTGCGGTCCTGGCCTGACGTCGGCTGCAGGTTGCACATGCTGCAGAGGGGCGGAAAGCAGATGATAGCCCCTCACCGCCCTGGGCATCAGCCAGGAGTGAAGAGTTTTCCTGATCTGGAGGTTCTCAACACATGGGGAGCATCAGGTACAAACTGTGGACTTTCTCCCAAGACTTAAGAGTACATGCTTCTCCCCAGCAACCCAGTGATTATAGGAGGGTCACAGGCATTAAGTTAAGGGCTCCAGCTGGAGGCTCCTGTTAAATTCAGACACAAAACGGCTAACCTAGCTCTGAGAGGGAAGCTCATATATGACAAGTTTCTAAAGCTATGGAGGCAGAGGAGCCACTTGCTAGGGTCCTAGCCTAAGATCCAGGATAGCGGGCAAAGCCTCTGGCACCCTCAGGAAAAGGCTGGGCCTGGTCTACAGGTCTGTGTGAGGAAGCAAGGGCCCAAATGCTGGGAGGGCCATCACTAGAGCTAATCTCCAACTGAGTCCACTTCAATTCCAAACTGGGCTCCATTTCGCACATTTTCTAGGATCGCCAGGGACAGATTTGGGAGTGAGAGTTCCTGTTGTATTTTAGGACTTTCCAGTTTATTTAGGTGGGATTTCTCACTGATCTGAGTACCTGCCTGCCCCCTCCAATGAGTGGAGCTCACCTTAGACAGACATTGACAAAACATGCACCCCAGCCAACCTGGTCTCCTCACATATGAGATGCCATGTGAGGCCAGTACTAGTGGGATATCAAGACTAGTAAGACAAGCAAGAGCTGACCTTGACCGGGCGAGGATGTTGCGAATCTTCTCAGCTTTCCGATACCGCGCCTGCAACTCCTCCAGGCTAGGTGGCTCTTCAGGATCCAGCTCCACGTAACGCTCAGGGATAGAGACCTTCTCTGGTTTGGATAGCTGGGGAGAGGACCAGGAGGTAAGGTGGAAGGGAAGGCTAAGATGTTTTGGCTTGGGACCTGCTTTCCCCACTGTCCCACCATGAGGAAGTCCACAGAGATGAAGTAACTTGCTGAAATCATAAAATGAGTCAATTGTGGATCAGGATTTGAACCTGGTTTGACACCAAAGACAGCTATACCAGACAACCACTTATGGTGGGGTTGATAACGTACCAACTTATCAACCTCCTCTAAGCTAAGGAAAGAGAAAGGCAAGGCCAAACGCCCATTGAAAGCTTTTAAGAGAAAAATGATAATCCTTAGGGCTGCCCTCCAGGCCCTAGTGATCTGGCCCCTGTGACTTCTCCAGCCACACTGACCCAGCAGTTCCTTAAGGGCCGCTCTAACAGTGGGGCCTTTCTTCCTGCTCTTCGTCTGACTGGGATGCTCCTCTTTTGCTTCACTGACTCTCATCCTTCAACCCCACCCCAATCCCTTCCCCAGTCCTTCTTCTAACCTCCATTACTCTCATTTTCTGTTTATCACTGTCTCTCACTGTCTAATGCAGGGACTGGCACTCAAGTAGTCCTTCATCAATCCTCTTTGAATGGATGATGGGGCAGATGGATGAATGGATGGATGGAGAGATGGATGTGAGAAAGTGATAGTGGTTTCTGTTCTACAAAAGTTTTTCTGATCTAGATAGGAGGCAGCTATACTGTATCTGCTGCTTTCCAGGAAGGAAACAGACGTACCCCTAACCCTCAAAGTATTTAATTCACCCAGTGACCAACTCAATTTGGTAAAATAATGCTCAGGATTAAGAACACTAAAGGCAAATTTCGCAGGCCCTTATTAAAATGGGGTTGATTGAAGCTCCCCTAAAACAAGTTAAATCTGATCCTAGGACAAATCTAATTTTGGCTTTATGGAGGAAAAAGAAAATAAAAATGGAATATCATTGGTTCAGCACACTTAAAATGGAGTCAGGAGGCCCCTGTTAATCAGATCTCAGATTTGTCTGCAACAGATCCTTTGAACTGAGCTGCAAACATGCCCACCTAGAGGTGAGCTTATCTTTGAAATACTAATAGCTGATGACATTCTGTACAACAGATCCCTCCCCACAAACTATCCAGACTCAGACTGCATCCAATCCCTTTCTTACAAGAAAGCTTAATTTTTGTCAGCAACAATCATAATTCCTAACCCCCCTTGTGGTTTAATGCTACAAATGTAACCATCATTTTGTAAAACCTCAGAACATACTTTCAAGAATGCTTGAATCTTGTTTTCCTGGACTGCAATTCTAATTAGCCCCAAAGTAGTTTTTTTTTTTTTTTTTTGTTCTCAACTTGGCTGATTTTATTCACGGCCAACAGATTTAAACTCATGTAGCCCTTGCATTTTGCTGAAAGATGGCAAGAAATAAGCTCTTCTCTGTTATTTCCAATGAGGACAGATCTAGAGGAAGGAAGTAGATTACATTGTAGCAGGAGTGATTTGGGTTAGAGATAAGAAAGGATTTTTTTCCCTGGGCTGACCAGCAAATTAGGACGCTATAGTGCACATGTGTACTGCCAAGACAGCACGTGGAGGCTTCTTTGTGAATCTGAGAAAGTAAAGATCTTTGGTATTTCAGCAGCCAAAAAAAAGGTCAAGGGGCAGATGACCAAGCTTTGTTAATCTCTGAAGTCCCAGCTGACTCCCAGAACCCAGTAACTCCATGAGCACCTATTTGCCCACATAAAGCTCCTTTGTTCTCAAAGCCCCCATGAGTGCCTAACCAATCAAGTCAGGTAGATCCTACTGGCAAAATCATCTTGTGAGTGGTCTGGCGATGCCTTTTAAAAACAGGAAGAAGGTATCTGGAGGCATAGCTCCCCTTTGGCACTCATTCTCAGACCAGACAAACCTGTGGGGGATGTTTATTAAAACCAAATCCATCCGTCATGTGGTGAGAACACTTCCCCTCATGCAGTTTCAGGGCAGGCCAAGTCTTTGTAAAAATGTTTTCTTGACATTTATGGGCCACGGTGATTCATTCAACAAAGTCTTCCTTCAGTAAATATTTACAGAGCACTTACTGGGTGCTGACATGGTGCTAAGGATACAAAGGTGAGTCAAGAAGTCACAGACACTGCCCTGGAGAGCTTACAGATGGCACAATACAGGCCACAGGAGACCATGAATGTCTAGAAGACCCAGACTGTCATCTCCTGCCCTTTTCTTTTCCCTGGGATGGAGGTGGTTACTTGCTTTCCTAGGCCTGCACTGTCATGATACACACATGCCACAAGAGGGCGACAGAGGAATTCAGACCAGAGCTATTAGGCACCATCTACTCACTTTTATCCTGGCTGGAAATTTCAAGGTGATTTTCAAACCTGTCCCATGTTTTCCCCTCAGTTTGACAACACAAGTCAGCTGGCTGGACAGTTACAAGGTTAACTCTTGGTATTCTAGGGAACCTTTTCTAACAATAGCATTTACTGTCTCAACAAATATACTGTGTGTCAGGCTTTCTGATCACTGCTAAACCTCCTAGGAATTATATTGAGTTGCTTAATCCCACTTTATTAATGAGGATTGAGAAGTTACTATTATAATTTGTCCCAAATTACATAAAAACACCTAGGTTCCTTTTATTGCTTCAAGCTGCTATCCATTCATTCTCTTGGGTCAAAGTGAAGCCAAATCTTGTCTCCATTCAGGACATACCCTTGGTGGGAGGGTTGATCAGGATGGCAGTCCAAAGGCCATGCCTCCTTGTGTGGGGGGTCGGGGACATGAAGGGAGCCCCTGCCCTCACCTCTCTGCTGATGTCCAAGTCATAGTCTTGAGGTTCCAGGTCCAACTCTGTGACAGGCAGGGCCTGTACTTTCAACCAGCCATTCTCCTCCTTGTCTTTTCTTTCCCCTTGCATGGCTCGGTCCAGTAACTGCAGGTCAAAGTCCTGCTCTCGCTTCCACTGGCAACAGAATAAGAAGGTTAATTGCAGTCACTTCCTGACTGCTGAGAGACTTGTTGGTCCACTTTTGAATGAGTCCTTCAGGCATGGGGCCCTTGGGAAGATGGATCTGTGACCCATCAGGGAAGAGTATTGTGCTGTAACTCTGTATGTAATGGAGAACGAGGTCCTTGTTTCCTTCTCATGGCCCATTTCACATTGCTGATTGCTCTCTGATCTGGGACCCCCAGAGTTCAAACATGCTTTCTGTGGGCAATATAAGTTTGTGATGGTCCCCAGGGATATTGAATGCTCCCACATCTGAGAGCAAGACCCCCAAAGAGAACCTGGAACAGAGCTTCCGATGGTAGATTTGGCTTGTGTGCTGCCCCACAGGTGATAGGCCTTTTGGGTTCAGAAGCCTTATGTCCCAGGTTCAGAAACAATGAATAAAACAAGCCTTTAGGGTCTTGCTAAGCAAGTAGAATAACCAAAAGCCTATAAGGTATTCCCAACAGGATCCATTTGGGAGACACTGTACCCACAGCAGGGCTGAGGAAGTCCAAGAAGGAACAGGTTGGACCCAGTGAAGCAGACAAACTGTGGTGTATGACAGTATTTGGAAGAGGCACTTTCTTTAGACTAAATTATGTATAATTGAAGTGCTAAATCAAATGTAATATTTCCAAGGCTGTTTCACAGCATCAACTTTGTAACAAGGAACTCTTCATAAAAGAGAAAATGTAATCCAACCATTTTAAGATCCAAGCACAACTGCTCAATTCTGTGGTGGTTCCCTGTTCACCCTGGGCCTGTGTCCTCACAGGCCTCTGACTGCTAAGCAGGTTGTTGAAAACAGAGCAGGCTCAAAGCCTCTCTTCTCTTGAGCAGGAACAAAGAAGGTACTTACCCATCCCAGGTCATCTCCTTCTCCCAACCCACCCACCTCAGAGCCCTATGCAGTCATGGCCCTCAAGTTGTTCCAAACCCCAAACCCATAGCCATATCAGCACATTTCACCCATTCATGCACAAGCTCTCAGTACTGACTCCAAACTATGTCATCGCCCTTGGGTGATGGTTTTCCAATTATAGGATTAGGTAGCTGAAGTTCAGGGATGAATTATTTTAATGATTCAAAAAGAAAATGCACATTCTCTTACACGCTCACAAGTTCTCCAAATAGAGACAAGTCCTCATTTAAACCCGGCCTGATTGTTTCCACAAACAGGAAAAGTCCACTACACTCTAGAGAGTACCCTAGGGAAGAACCACGCCAATCCATTGTTATTAGGCAACACGTTTATTGGCGCTGATGCAGAGACTTACACAAGTCTTAAGAGAAAAATTACAAGGTATTCAACTTATGAGTTTTAGATAATCTCTACATTTGAGACATCAGGTTGTAAAAAGTCAGTATTAGCCCATATGACATTTGCTTATGAAGTTTAGAAGTTACCGGGTTTGCAGCTTTTAAAGGTTTGACTGTCCTGGGTCTTATCCCTTTGGTATCTGAGCTAATAGCTGCAGAGAGTCCCTCTGAATACATAGTTTATTTTGCTATCAATTCAAGTTATTAAATATTAGAAACACAAAAGGTTTTCCACAAGAAATTATGTGATAGAACTGAAGGAGTTAAAACCGAACAACCTCAGATTTGGTAGCACTTATTCAAACATACAATCTCTGAAATCCATGTCTACTGTCCAGGTGTAAGGCATGGATTTTGATAAATTCATAATGCCCAGACCTCTGCCAATGACTGTGGTCCTCAGGCAGCAGGTTGGCTCAAGCTGTGGGACAGCTTTAGAGTCAGTAGACCTGCACAAAGGAGAGCAACAGAAAGGTGAGTGACATCTGGGGGTGCTTGCTAAGCTAGGGAAACAACAGAGGCCTGGTAACAAAGCCTGGTAACAAAGAGCACAGGCCAGTTAGACAATGTTCTTTACAAATCAGAAGCTTCTGTAAACACAATCAGGCAGGATTAGAGAGGCAATGAGCGGTAACACTAAAAGCAAAAGAGCTTGTGCAATGAATTAGGGAAAGAACAGTCAGGCTGGAGGTCTAGGGAAACATGGGATTTCAAACAGAAAGTTATATAAAATGTTTCCAAAAGGGACCTAAGGCGACTCTGGGCAGGATGCAGTGCCAGTGAGCACCACCAGGGGCAGCACCAATCCCCTGGCTCTCCTGGGCATCCTGAGGCCTCTCAGCACCACATGCTGCAGGAGACCACCGCCTTTGAGATTGTGGGCCACCAACCCTTGGTCAGCTGACTTCCTTTCCTCCAACATCTGTTTGGAAAACTGGGAGGCTGGTTGGTTCGCTTGCACTTCTCCTCAAATCATATCGCCATCTTCCTCCTCAACTCCTTAAACTCCAAATTCCCAAGTCCTTAATTCAGCTGAAAGATCTGAATGCCTGCAAAAGCCTCTCTCGTGCTTAGCTTAGAAAACTGACTGGATATTTTCTCACACTCCTGGAACTCTGATGTGGGATCCTCTTTCCTGCTCCAGTTCCAGGTCACCCTTTGACCAGCTCACACATGTAGACAGGGTCGAGGACAAATAGCCCCATGGGATGTTCTCTCAACCATCTACGTTAGTGAACAGCCCACTCACTCATGGGTGTGTCGTGCTTGTGTTTGGGGAACTTGGAGAAGCTGTGCTCAGTTGGAGGGAAAGCTCTGCTCCCTGTCCCAGCCCCGCCTGCCTAACATACTGAGCCAAGATCTCCAGGGAGCGGCTGGTATAGGTAGCGGGATGAGGGCAGGCCCGCCCTTTCTCCTTGGCTCAGTGTCTTCTTGCGCTCCCGGACCAGGGCCTTCTGGTGCCGCTTCATGCGCTCAAGCTGCTCCTCTGCACTCATCTTGCCCCGCTGGTGGTCCCCTGAGTACAGGCGCTCCAAGGCACTCTTGGGTCTCTGAGGAGGAGGAAGTGAGAGACACAGAGCAGCTGGGCTGGGAACACAGAGGGCAGCCGCCCTTCTGAGTTCATTCCTTTTCTTAGTTTCTCACACTCTCTGGTTGGACTCCTCTTGGCTATGAGATCCACTCTCTCTAAGCATCATGATGGTCCTCACCACCTTTCTGGGCAGCACCCCATTCTGCACATGCAAACACTGAGGCCCAGGCCTGACCAGTTGGACACATATGCAGCTCACCAGGATGCATATTTCTTGGGCTCCCTCCCACGACCCTGCCATACTGGAGTTGAAAATGAGGGTCCTCAGAAAATAGAGAGGCAGGGCTTTCTATTGACAGGCAGTGGGTGACAGGACCACCCTGAACACGAAGGGGCTGAGGTCACCTCAGAGGCTATTCTTAGTGCTCATAGAATTGCTAGTCAATGTCCAGCTCAAGATCACTCACAAGAAAAGTCACCTTGCTATTTTCAGCATTTAGACCCCTCCGGAGCGTGACATAGGGAGCGATGGTGGACGACTGCTGGAGCCTTGATGTGGAACCTGAGAGCCCTTTATGAAGAAAGGGGAGTCAAGCATATTTGTGGTGAGGTAGACAGTCGTTGGCCCTTCCCTAATCATCCCTACTCCCATGAGGGACCAAGAGGGCCCAGCCAACAGCCCATTCAACTTTTCCTTCATTCTCCTTAGAGCAAGGCCCTAGATAGAGGACGTGGGTCAGTCCAGAGGTGCCCTCTGTCCCCAACAAGGGACAGACTCCTTGCAGATCTGTGAACCACTCTAGGTATCCCTTCCCTACAGGAGCCCTGGGCTGTGTGGGTAGAAGGTGCCAGTGCCCTCCACCCCCTGCTTCCTGCTGCATTCTCACGCATCCTGCACTACCCAACTCGGGATAAGGAGGGCAGAAAGAGGGGTTCCACCTGAGACAGTGTTTAAGAAAAGATTGAGTCTTAGGGTGGTGCAAGAGGAGAAACCCCTCTGGAGGGCCTGAGTTAGCTTGCTGGTGGCAACAGCCCAGCACCCCAACCTGTAGGTCAGAGCCCTGGGATTGTCTTCTGACTCCCTCACCAATAGCTAACTGGCAAGTTATTTAACTTCTCTCAGCCTTAGTTTTCCCAAGTTCTAAAGTGGGAAGTAGCAATTCCCTCACAGCACTGTGAGTATGAGGTCTATATAAAGTACTTAAACAGTCTTGAGTTTTATAGTAATTGCTATTATCATTGTTTCCAGTGACAGATATAATAAAAGAGGAAAAGGGGGTGGGATTGTGGCTCAGTGATAGAGCATAGGTGAGGCACTGGGTTCAATCCTTAGTATCACATAAAAAACATTAAATAAACAAAATAAAGGTATTATGTTCATCTATAACTAAAAATATTTTTAAAAAATAAAAGAAAAGAGGAAGAGAATCGGGATATAAGTGAGAGGAAGGGAAACCAGGTCCTTGCTTTCATCAACCCAAGCCTTGGCCTAACACTGTAGGCAGCTATGGGCTGAGGGGTGGAAGCAGTGTGTGGTGGGATTCCCCCAAAAGATTCTATAGAGGGTCTTGCCTTACCTCTGCCTGGCAGTGTCTGGTACCTGCTCTCAGGTCCCTCAAGTCCCAGGGAGGGCTGAGTCATGTCCCCACTGAGGGTGGCCAGCTCGGGCTCACTAACGTATGACCGCAGCTCCACCTGTGAGCAGTGTAACACTGTCATGCCTGCCCAGCATCACATCACCTTTCCTCTCCCCACTCTCAGTGGACAACCTCAGGGGTCCTTCTAGCTCACCCGCGAGTCCCCATTCACACACTGCCCCAGCTCCCGGTCTCGCTTCCTCTCATCCGACTGCCGCTTGAGGCCCCGCACAGAAGTGTGTCGGATGATAGTGGCCTCTCTTGGCAGAGGTGGCACAGCTGGAGGCTGGTCTTCTGGGCTGTATAGTTCAGGGAGTGGGGGTCTCGGAGGTGCCTCCTCTTCCTGGTTGGAAAAAGAACCAGAATCAGTGCTCAGTGGAACGGAGCTGGAGGGAGGACTGCTGAGTGGCAATGCCACACTGGTGACCTAGTAAGCTGAAACTTCAGAGACAGAACAGAGCGTGAACATTTCCTCTGGAGAAGCTGTGAAGAGGGGACGTGCCTCTGCTCCAACTTTGTTCTTCCCTTTGACTCATATATTTTCTATTTTTCAAAGTGTTATCTGTATGTACTGTGTCCCCAAATCCAAGACATAGGCTCCTGGTTCTGTGCTTGGCATTGAACCAAACTGTCTACTCCAGTTCTTTGGCATGCACCGCAAGAAGGCAGGCTGCTAACTCTGTGTCATTTCTTTTTCTTTTTAAAATATTTATTTAGTTGTAGATGAACAAACAGTATCTTTATTTATTTTTATGTGGTGCTAGGGATTGAACCCAGTGCCTCACATGTGTTAGGCAAGCACTTTACCACTGAGCTACAGCCTCAGCCCCACTCTGTGTCATTTCTAAGCTGACGACAGTACCCACCCTGCAGAAAAACACATTCTCCACCCCACTGTGCTAAGCCTTAGCTGGCCCACTGCTCCTGCACAGATTCTGGATCTTTCAACAGGGCAACGATCTGAGCAAGAACAGAGTCTACCACTTCTTACCCTTTCTCTCAGAAATGTGCATGGTTACAAACCATTTCCTCATTCCTGATTCCAGACACAAGAGTCAGTCATAGGATGAGCGACTCACTGCCCGCCCTGGGATGTTACAAATGTGACTGTTTTCCTTAAAACTCCTTGTTCACAGTGCTTTCTGAGGGTTGTGGCTCCTCTCCACATCTGCAGACTGGCCCCCGACTACCATGCACACCCACTAATGACCACCTCGCCTCCCTCTTCCTATATTCATCTTTTCTTAGCCTCATTTGGCTTTGTTTTTCAGATTTTTGCAGAGTTTAGGAAAGGGTTCAGTCCAAGCTTGCTTTGCAAAGATTTACCAGAATTCTTTAAAGCAACACACTTCACTGATGTGTAGAAAGTAAACTACTTAAGATACCCACTAATTCTCTGAGAATCAGCAGTTTCCAACCTTGACAAGACATGGGGATCACCAGTTTTTACAAAGCTCTTCAGGAAGATACGCACAAAACACTGACTGCCTATGATCGAAGAGAACAGAATGTCTACAGAAACAGAGTGTGGGAGGGAGATGATTTATCATATGTTTAAAAAATATCTTTTGGTTTTACACTCTTTTGGGATTATCTAATTTAAAAATGACATTAAATTCAATAAAAGAAGCCAAATAAAAGTGAAAGACCTATAGCTAAACGCAACGATGTGGATGATATTGTTGAAAAGATGCAAGATGAAAGGCAGTTCAGTGTTACATATCAGCATAATTAAAGTGCTTAGGGATGAAAACACAGATGGTCAAACTAAAAGAAAAAAGCCAGGGAATATTATGCATAAATTAGGATCATGGTTACTTCTGGCAGAAAGGGAGGGGCCTGGAACTGAAAGGGGCCTACAAGTCTAAAGACTCCTTGAAAGTTTGTGGGCAAAGTTCTATTTGTTAGTCCAGATGTTAGTATAACATGAGTGGTCCCTTCATTGTTGTTTAATTATATTTTCTTGTTCTATGTTATTTTCAAGATGTTAAAAATCAGCATATCCAACGTAAGTGCTAACACTGGTAAGCCCACATGTACTACAACAAGGAGAAAAGACCCCCAGTGACCCTGATGCTCACCTGAGCAGAAACAGCCCTGCCCAGGAGCCATAGAGGACCAACTGTGAGAAGTCTCTGTGATTGTCTACTCAAGGGAAACTGAAGCTCAGAAAAAGGATGGACATACCCAAGGACACAGAGAGAGATCAAGGACCAGACTCCAGGTATCCGAGCTCCCAGGTTGTACCTTTCCCTCCTATTCCTCGACCCAGATGATGGGCACCCTGCTGTACATCAAAAGCCATCTGCCTCAGACATCTCTGCTCTCTGTTTTGGTATTTTATGATTGGTGCTCCAATCTGCTTCTTAGATCTAGGACTATGAAGGAGATCTCAAAATGGGAAAATTCACCATGACTCTGAATGGGTCACAGGTCACACCTGCATCTAACTCTGGGTCACAGGCCACAGAGGGAAGCAGGTGAACGGTGAGGTCCAGGGAATGCCTGTGCTTTCCCAGCACCTTGTGTCAACCTAATCAGAAGCCCTGGGCACACATAGTTCCAGGCAAGGCTCCTGCAAACCTTTGTTGGCAAAAACCAGGAGCCCCACATGCCAAGGTCCCTTCAGCTCTGGCTTCCCTGCCTTTGGGTCAGACCCCTTTTGTTCTCCACACAAGACTGGCCTTGTTGTAGAGGTAGAGTATCATGGCACCTGACCACATCTTCTATTTCTTTCAAATCTCCTGTGTTCCCAGATCTTGCCAAGAGCTTGGCTCCTCTCTATGCCAAGCAAGCCAAGGTGTTGGAGCAGGCTACCCCACACGGGCCACAGACTTGACCTAAGAACCTGGGCTGGGGGTCTAGAATAAAACAGAAGAGTACGGAGATGCTGGCTTTAATATCTAATATGGAGACCTTTGGCGAGTTTCAACACCCTGGGGCTTTAGTTTTCTTCTCTATGGGATGGGGATACTGTCTTTCCTGTCCATACCCTATGAGGCTACATGCAACCTCACAGACCAGCACAGTGCTCAACTTGGGGGTGGGAATAAAGATACTCTTGGTGGAAGGAGCTCCTTGCCCAATCCAGGCTGTGTAACTGCAGGCAAGCCTCTGCAGGCCTCCTCGGACCCTGTGTGCGGACAGCCTCACAATCCTCTACATGGTGCAGATCACAAATTCCACCCCACTCAGTCCAGTCACTTCTTGCTGGGCCTCAATTTTTCTAATTGCAAAATGGGAGGGTTGGGCTAGACTATCTCTCAGAACCCTGGCAGTCCCAAGAGGCAAAGGCACAAGAGCAGGGTAAATACAACTCCTTAACTGCTCAGGACCAAGGACTCCAGTGGGTTTCTGTGTCCTCAGGTTTTCTGCAGAACCTCTCTCCCAAGATAAGGTGATCTGAGGACAGAGAAGGGCAGTCAACAGCCAGAGAGGAAAACAAGACACTCAGCTCCCAGTCACCAGAACTTACCACTTTGGGCTTTGTCTTAGTTGGTGACTGAAGGGGGGATGTCACTTTCCTCAGTTGGGGTGGGTGAGGTCGGTACGGCACATAGGTCTGCAGCTGCGGGAATAGGCGAACCTCCAAAGGGGTCCGCACAGGGCTGGTGGGAGGGCTGGGCTGCAGGGGTGGCTTGCTCTCAGAAGTGGAGAGTGAAGGCACAGGCGGGTGAGGGAACAAAGGCACCGTTTTCCTCTCTAAGGGACATGGAGGAAAATAATCATGGGATGGAATAAAGATGCTACTCTTCGGGGGACCAGTGGAATGATAGTACCACAAAGATCTGCACCTCCACCACCATCCCACCCCCCCCCACCCATTCCCCACACCCAGGGAGATGCTCCTCACCTGGATTTTTGACTGATTCCACCAGGATTCTGTAGTTCTCTTTATTTGCGCTCAGGCCTGCAAGGACATCTTCGATCCTCCATAGATCCTTCTGTATCTGTGATTTCTCCTGAGGAAGGCATGCAGGTGGTTCATTGTCTTCTTAGCTCCTTACCAGAATTTTATTCTTAGGATTTATCTTGCCATTTCATACAGTCCCTCCCCCTGAGGGGCAGCACCTGCTTTAGAAACTGAACCAGGACTAGGGTCAAGCCTGTTCACAGCCTCCTAAGGAAGTGGATCAAGGTCTAGGGAGAAATTCTGGAATAGCTTTCACCAGTTCAGTTTGCCTATTTCTACCTAATTTAAAAACAGACTGTTGTAAATATTATAGGATTCCATTTAAATACTGAGTGAAGTATCTAGAGTAGTTAATTTCATAGAGACAGGAAGTAGAATAGTGGCTGCCAGGAGTGGGGAAAGGGAGGATGGGGAGCTGTTTAATACTTTTGTTCAAGTGTAAAGTTCTGGAGATGGGTGAACAGCAGTGTGAATGTACTTAACAATATAGAGCTGTACTCTTAAAAATCGTTAGGATGGCCACGCATGGGTAGTGCACGCGTGAATTCCCAGTGGCTCGGGAAGCTGAGGCAGGAGTATCTTGAATAGTGAGACCCTAAGCAACTTAACAAGATCCTGTCTCAAAATAAAAAATAAAAAGGGCTGGGGATGTTGTTCAGTGGTTAAGCATCCCTGAGTTCACTCCCCAGTGCCAATAAATCAATCAAATAAAAATGGTTAAGATAAAAAAATTTATGTTTGTATAGTTTAGCAATATATATATATACTGTCTTATGCAACCATAGCAGCAGAGGAAGGAAGGCAAGGACTGGAGGTTAAATTACCTCTAGAATATTAACTTTTCTTTTTAAAAAATATTTATTTTTTTTAGTTGTAAGTGAACACAATATCTTTATTTCATTTTTATGTGGTGCTGAGGATTGAACCCAGTGCCTCATGTGTGCTAGTTAAGTCTTCTACCACTAAGCCACCACCCCAACCCCTTAACTTTTCTTTTTAAAATCAGAGCAGAATCCTGGGATTTGAGGCTTAGTTAGAAGTACAATGGGCAATGGGATATTATTTGGCCATAAAAAGTGTTGAAGTACTGATATGTGCCACAACGTGGATGAACTCTAAAAACACTACACTAAGGAAAAGAAGCCAGGCACAAAATGCCATGTTATATGTTTCTTTTATGTAAAATGTAAAGAATAGGCAAAGCCATAGAGACAGAAAGAAAGTGGATTAAAAGTTGATGAGGGTGGAGTAGGGAATTGGGGAGATAGGGAATGACAGTGGGCACAGGGCTACTATTGAGAGGTGATGAAAATGTTATAAAATTGTGCTGAAAGCTGCACAATACTATGAATACACAAAATACACTGAGTTGTACACTTAAAAAGGCAAATTTTTCTGGGTGCGGTGGTACACTCCTGTAATCCCAGCAACTAGGGAGGCTGAGGCAGGAGGATCCCCTAATTCAAATCCAGCCTCAGCAACTTAACAAAACCAACCCCAAGCAATTAATTGAGACCCTGTCTCTAAACAAAATACAAAAAAGGGCTGGAAATGTGGCTCAGTGGTTAAGCACCCCTGGGTTCAATCCCTGGTACCAAAAAAAAAAAAAAGTGAATTTTGTGGTATTTAGATTATAATATGATAAAACTTTTTTAAATAAAAAGTACAATGGGAAAAGAGCTATGCTATATGATCATATGCACAAATTACAAGCAAGACTGGATAGGATGAAGACCTAAAGGAGATGAAGAGGGGCCTGATGTGGTTAAGGGGTTGTGGCCATCTTCTAATGGGGTTGTGTAAACTTCAGATGTAGTTTTTTTGTGGTCCTGTAGATTGAGCGAAGGACATCACACATACTTGGCAAGCACTGCAACTGAGCTGCACCCCAACCCAGATATAGTATTCTTTTGATTTTTAAGTTACAATGGAGGGCAGACAGACTTGGTCCCACTCGACGGACAAAACGAAAAGCAAGTTTCACACCCCCCATCTCCTCTCAAGGATCCTGGATGCCCTTCAACCGGAAGAGTTCTCACACTACATGATACTTACCAACCTGCCCAATTCCACAACTAGATTGTGTGCTCCTAGCTCCTTCATAGGGTCTGGTACTTAGCAGGTTTTCAGTGCATATACATTGAGTGAAAATGTAAAATCCTCAGTTAATCTTCATGTAAAATCCTCAGTCAAATAACTTTCCAACACCTATGACAGCAGATGTCCAAAGGCTCCTGTGCCAAGAGGGCTCATGCTTCCATTCTCCTTGTCCCAACAGCAAAGTGTACCCTCAGGGCTGACAAGCAAGGAAAAGGCTTGGAACTCAGCCCCACACTCAAGTACCATCCTGAAACAGGCAGGCGCACTGCTGCCCTTACAGTATGTAAGTTAACAGGGATGGTCTCCAGAATTGAAGTCCCCAAGCTGAGTGCTTGGAAAAAGTAAAAGGGAAAACATTTCTCCTCTTCCTTCTCCTTAGCTCTCAAGCAAAGCACTCCTGTCAGCCCATTCTCCTATCCCTTTTGCCTTTCTGACATTTCTACATGTAAAAGAGCAGGGAGGAGCAAAGGCCAGACAGTCTCTTTCTCCAAGGGTGATGGAATTTTGTAACTTAACAATGAGGTGTGGGGGAGCTTTGGGGAGCAAGGAGGTAGGGTTTTATTCCTGTATACTTATACCCCATGGGTGGAAGGCTGTCAGCACAGCTTTGGACTCCCTCTCCAGGGTCGGGATGGGAACACCTACAGGTAGCCTCACCTATCACGGCTTCTTGCCACACTGTTCCCTGGGTATTCTATCCCTTGGTTTCCTTGATGACTAGGCGGCCATGAAGACCTTTACAAATAAAGCTACCCACTTCACTGAAAAGATTATGAACTTTCTCACAGCCAAACCAGGTTAACAGAGATGAATTTCCAAGCCATTACTGAGAAGTTGCAGATGGGTTGCAAGCATACCCCCAGTGTTCATGATTTGTCTAGGGCTTTAACAGCCTGCCTGGCCTAGGATTACACAAAGAGCCTAGCACAGAGCCTGATCAAACAGGGCTTATGACTCCTAGGTCACTGAAGCACTCAGAAAGCCTGAGCAATGCCATGGAGCAACATTAACATAAAGCCATAGGCTTGTCCATCTGCTAGAAATTTAAAGGAATCAATTCTCCAGGTAGTTTGTAACAAGATCTATTTTACTCTGCAGATTCAAGAGGGGAAAAATGATTCTGAGTCTATTATATATTTAATCACTATGAAATAAAGCACAGTAGGAACACAAATACCCAATAATCATATTTAAAAATGTTTAACTTAAGCCTAGAGTGGTGGTATAAGCCTGAATTACCAACTATTTGGGAGACTGAGGCAGGAAGATTACAAGTTCAAGACTAGCCTGAGCATTTGAGAGACTCTGTCTCAAAAAATAAGAAAAGAGGCTGAGGCTGGGGCTCAGTGGTAGAGTGCTCTCCTAGCATGTGTGAGGCACTGGATTCGATCCTTAGCACCACATAAAAATAAACAAGTAAAATAAAGGTATTGTGCCCAATATAGCTAAAAAAAAATTTTTTTTTTTTTTAAAAAAAGGACTGAGGATATAGCTCAGTGGTAGAGCACCCCTGGATTCAATCCCTAGTAAAACACACACAAAGACACACACACAGTTTAACTTACCACTAATTAAATAAATGTAAATTAAAGCAAGATGTCATTTTTAGCCAACAGACTGGCAAAAATTAAAAAGACTGATAACATCAAACGCTGGCCAGGATACAGCAAACAGACTCAGCGTCCTTAGTCATGTGAATGGGAGAGTAAATTAGTGCAGTCTTTTAGAGGGCAATTTGGCAATATTTATTAACTTTTTTGTATTTAAAAATACTTGTGACTGTGGTGCATGCCTGTAATCCCAGCAGCTCAGGAGGCTGAAGCAGGAGGGGGTTCAAAGCCAGCCTCAGCAAAAGTGAGGCACTAAGCAACTCACTGACACTCTGTCTCTAAATAAAATACAAAATAGGGCTGGGGATGTGGCTCAGTGGTTGAGTGCCCCTGACTTCAATCCCTGGTACAAAAAAAAAAAAAAAAGTTTCTTACTGATACATAAAAACATTAAAATTATACATACTAATGAGGTTCATGTAATATTTTGATACATGTATACATTTTATAAAGTTTATATCAGGGTAAACATATCTGTCTCCTCCAATATTTATTATCTCTTTGTGGTAAAATATGTGAAATAATTTTTTTCTTCCTCCTTTTTTTTGAGATGTATATTTGTATTATTGCTACCTACTGTGATATTTGTCAACTTGTGAGATGTGTCTCATTTCAACTTAGCAAGTCTACTCCTAAGAACTTATCTTAGAGAAATGCTTATGAATGAGTCTGAAAAGGCAATTACAAGTATGTTCATGACAGCACCATTTACAAAAGCAAAATGCTAGAAATCACTTAAATGCCCACCAGGAGAGCAATGGCTAAATAAAGTAGGGAATATCGGGGCTATGAAATAGTATGTTGCAATCAAGAACTAATTTACTTTACTTTACTTAGACTCTTGCTGTCCCATACAACTTTCTAAGATTCTGGAAATCTTCTGTAATCTGTGTTATCCACTATGACGGTTTCTGAGCACGTGGGATGAGTCTAGTATAAATGGAGAATTCATTTTTAATTTTAGTTGTAATTAATTTAGATACAAATATCATAAACTTGAGAGCGTCATTCCTAGAAAGATTTCCGCAACATAAAGTTATAATAAAAAGGAAGTCACCAAATAGTATGTGTGAACCTCTTAAAGTAAATCTTTTACTTGCTCCCAAACCCAAATAAATAATATGATTCTATGTAGACACATATGCTGATAAATGCACACAAAATGAGCAGAAAGAGAACACCACAAACTGGCAGCCCTGACTACATGCAGGGAGGGTGAGAGGAGTGGGGTAGAACACAGAGAGAAGAGATTTTTTTATCATTACGTTTTTGCTTCTCATTGTTTGAATTTTTCTGAAAAATATATTCATGTATGATTTGTATAATTATAGAAAAATATGAATAGAACTATAAAAGAAATTCCTGCTAAAATCAGCATGGATCATTGAAGTTCAGGGAAGAGAGGGAAGGAGGGAGGGAAGGAAGGAGGGAGGGAGGGAGGGAGGGGGAAGAAAACATAAGAAAATGTTAGCATAGATGAAGGAAAGTTGGGTTGCGGGGACAATAACAAACAGATAGGTTCCGGGAAACCACATTACCCCAGCCTGGAGTCAGAGGCAAAAGTCTCCAGGGAACAGTGGAGTCCAGGGAAAAGTCTCAGGACACAACAAACCTAAACTCTTTAGAGTTCACATATTCATTAAATCACATGAATGTAACTGCCTTTTCAGACTCATTCATAAGCATTTCTCTAAGATAGGTTCCTAGGAGTAGACTTGCTGAGTTGAAATGAGACACATCTCAAAAGTTGACAAATATCACAGTAGGTAGCAATAATACAATATAAAAAAATAAATTAATTAATTAAAAAAATAATAATACAATATAAATCTCAAAAAAAATGAAGAAGAAGAAATATAATTTACCATATGTATTTTACCACAAAGGGATAATAAATATTGAAGGAGACAGACATGCTTACCCTGTTATAAACTTTATAAAATGTATACATGATTCAAAACATTACATGGTACCTCATTAGTATGTATACTTAAGTCTTCAATTAGTATGTATAATGTAGACTTAAGTCATCAATTAACATCCCAACAAAATTGGCATGATATGGTACAAAAAAAAGCCTATATGAATACTTGCTGAATTCAATAAACAGAATTTATGTCAGAGTCCTGAAAGAAGGAGATAGAGATCTGAAGTTGATTTGGAAAGCAGATCATTTTCCGTTTTTAAAAATATAAGGGTGGGTAGAGCTGGGAAGGTTGCTCAGTGGTAGAGTGCTTGCCTGGCAAGTATGAGGCCCTGGGTTCAATCCCCAGCATCACACACACAAGAAAGAAAAGAAAAGAGAAGAGAAGAGGAAAAGAAAAAAAAATTAAGGGTGGGGTAGAAACCTGGTTGGGCACCACAATCTGAGAAGGGCAGCTGGGGGACCCAACCTGGAAGAAGAGAAACCATACTGGGCTTTTCATTGTCTCACCTTTGTTGAGACAGAGGCTACTGTCCATGGGGGTGGCCTGGATTTTAAGGTAAGGAGGCAAGGCTCTAAAGTCACCTTTCCAGGTGAGGCAGGGGCCACAAAGATAGGTATCACCCAGACTGGCCTCCAGAAATGCAAATGAATGCCTGGAGACCAGAGGCACCTCAATGGACTGGTCATATTCCTCCCCAGGCAGAGGGATGATAGCATCTATCTTCAGGAATCCGAGGCAGGACTCAGGTGAGGCTTCCTGCTACTGTCTAATCTGTCTCAGGAACTCAAGAAGGAAACACACATCACTCTCACAGCTCCATCTCTGTAAAGTGCTCCAGGTTGGTATTGGTCTACTTCTCCAAATGACCAGAAGAAAACCCCTTCCAAAACAAACAAGAGTTTGTCTCTGAGAGCAGAGAGGCAGGGGATCTTGGGTAAGGCTTCTCATCATGGCCTAGTTGAAGGAAGGGATCTCTCAAGGGAGAGCTTAAGGGGGTCACTTCACAGGGCTAAAGAAGAGAAAGTTCTGGGGTAGTGACTCAGAGGCAACCATATGTCAGAAGGATGAACAGCCCTTGGTCACCTGGAAAAAAAAGGCTCTTCTGTGTTGCTCCTGCAGGGTCTGCTTCAGCTGCGCCACATCCCTCTCCAACTTCAGGTACTCGTTCCAGGCATTTTCCATCTCCTGTTGGCCAAGGAAATGCTTCTTGTTCCAAGTTATCCCTGGCCTCCCAAGTGGCCTCAAGAGCACCTGAGCTCCTGACCTTGAGTTGACCCAGTCAGGGAAAGTGGGAAAGGGACTCAATGGGCCTTCAGCAGGTCTGGTGGGATAGAGACCAGAGTGGGAACAAATGTGCTACTTGACCCTGGCCATCTGCACTGTTCCCTCTTCCATTCAGGAACTCTTTAATTCCTTGCAGAAGGGCCTGCTCCCACATCAGACTCAGAAAGGAAAACGTGAAAATTATGATGGCCTAGAATTAACTGCACACAGATCAGCCTACAGGCTGCTCTGAGTAATCTGGGTTCTTGAGTGTCCTCTGTCATCTGGAAGCCCCTGATAGAAAACAATCTAAGGCACAGGTGGAAACAGACTTGTCACCCCTAAAAAAGCTCTTGTAGAGAGGTGGGCTGGAGAAATTTTTCTATTCCAAGAATTTCCCTTGGCTACCACCTCAACTTCAGCTGAGGAGATGAGAACAGCAGCCCATGGCCTGCCCATTCTGAGGGGAAGTGTCTGCCTCCCTCCCCACCCTCCACGCACAGTGGACTCTCTGGACAGCTCAGCTCGGATGTGGACAAGGTCCTCCTGCAGCAGCCTCTGCTGGTAGGAAATCTTCTCCAGGTGCTGGGGCTGGTCTCGGTACTGCTCCATCTGTCTGTGCAACACCTCCAGCACAGATTCTAGCTGGTCCTACACCAGAAAGGGTTGAAGAGCAACAGGATGAGAAAACAGCCCCCAGAGGCCTCTCCATACCAGGAACAAGGAAAGCTGCTGGATCTAACTAGGGCTGAAGATACCAGCTGTGGGCTGAGGGGCAGGGCATCTGATACCAGTTCTGATTCTATAGAAGGGCCCAAAATTCTAACAGCTCTGTGCTTCTGTTTCCTCATCTATAAAATAGACATAAAGCCACCTAACTCTTTATGGGGTAAAGTATGAAGATAAATGAAAGAGTTGATGGAAAACTCTGGGCCCCTTCCCTAGGGCCTAGATGCCTGGGTTATCACATAGAAGCCAGTGGAGCTCCTCTCCCAGGCTCATCTCTCAGGGCCTCCAGGGAGAGATGGGCCAGAGCAGAATGGAGGAGTGAGGGTATCTAGAACAAATAGGCTGAGAGGAGAAACCCTCAAAGAAGCATCACTTAAAGCAAAGGCACTGTTGTGGATAAAGTAATCAGGTTGTTCAATACTAAAATGAGAGTTCAGTCAATGTCTCAGGAAAAACTCAGTGACAATATGTCCCCCCACCCATTCCAAGATTATGCAAACTGATGCATACTTTGTTCTCCTTGAGGGCTCGTATCTTGTCTTCCAAGTCCTGGAGGATCCTGTCTTGTTCACAGAAGACACTCAGTTTGACCTATAAGCAAAAACAGGTTGGGGAGGGCCTGGGAGAACGAGAACAGGGCATGGCCTGGGGATGAGAGCAGAAAACCTCTAGCTTCAGAACCATCCAAACCCTCTGGAAGCTGCCCTTGCTGGGTCTGGAGGCAGCTGAGGGATCAGCCTGTCACTCTGCTCACTCACGTCAATGTCACTCTCCGCGATCTTCATAGGCTTCAGACTTCGATCCTTGAGAAGGTCTCGGCCTGTCATCTGGGAGGTGAACAATTAAAGAAGACTTAACTGTGGTTCTTAGAATCAGAACTCTGGAAGGAAAGTCAGCCCTACAGTGAAGGGGTGTGAAAGTCTGGGCAGTGGCAGGAGAGGGTCGTGGCACAAATGGGGCAAAAATTGAAGCAACATCTGCTTGATATCTATGTCTATTTCATTTTAGGGAAAAACTAAAAACTTTTTGTGATCCTTGTAAATTTCTCAAACTAAAGAAAATGCAGATGTTAAAGTTACATAATCATCAATTTTAAAAGCATATACTTGCCCAAAAGGAGTGTGATAAGAGTATGAATCTTGGAAGGTATGCCACTGATAAAATTGAGGTTTGTTACTGAAACAGACACAAGTTATAGAAGTCCATCACCCTCCAGCCTACAGTAGTGGAGTCAACAGGCGAGGAGGATCAAATTCCCTGAGCATTGTCAAGCCTCAGTTTAAGGAAGTCTGAGCAGCCTCCTTACTTGTGAGTAAGGCCAGCACACCCTAAACTAATTGAGAAAAAGACCTGCCCAAAGAAGAAGGAACCTGGATAGTTGATCCCTGAATAATTGAGGCTAGGTTGTACTTGCATAAGTTATAACCTTCCTCTCTTTCCAGAAGTGTCTGTAGAAAATAAAAAGCTTTTATATGCTGTCTTCAGCCCTGAGCCTTGGAGAGGCTTTGACACCCGCAGTTAGACTCAGTGCTCAGGAGATGAAACTCTTAAATACTCCATATATTTTCTCTATTAGGTCTCTTTTCAGAAGTGTCCATAGAAAAGTTACAATCTTCCTCATCCTCTCAAGAAAGGAAAACAAAGCCATCCAAATGTAAGGGTAAAAGAGGTTTGACATTTTCCATCCTTCACTCAACCTGAAGAGTGCAGCATGTTGCCCATTTCTGACTCCCAAGAAGCTGAATCCAACTTTATATCCCAAGCTTCCATTTCCTCCCAATTTCTTTCTTGTCAAAAGTTGTAGAGGGGTGCAGGGAGTGGCTTTTTCACAGATGCATTCATGGCCAAGACAAGGTCAGAATAGCAAGGCCTAATGAACCTCATGTATGGGAGATGATCTCTCTGACATGTTTTACAGTTCTGACTAGGAGAAATTAAGGGCAGGACTAACCATAGACAGGTGGTATATGCACCGTGCAGAGGGTCCCAGCATGAATGCACAGACAGGTGCTGGAGAGAGGGCCTTTGCTTTATCCCCTTTCCACTTGGGAGATCCAGCAAGTGAGTGTGAATTGGGAGCTATATATTAGCTATCCTTAAAGCTCAAGTGTGCCCAAGAGTCCTATGTTACTACTGAGAATGACCAATAAATCCTAAAAGTTAAGGCCAAGGTCAAAAGACTTCTTGCCTTGAGCTGAGAATTGATTCTGGACTGCAGAACTGCTCCCCGCCCCTCTCTCATGATCCCTTCGGTCACACAGTTCTGGGCCAAGACCAGTCTTATTTTTTGCAATACAGTCTTGAACATAAGGCCTGTCACAATGGAAGGCACTAAACAATTCTTAACCATTTCCATGTAGATCAAAGGGAAACATGTAGGTCAGTGTAAGTTCCTGGAAAGAGAAGAACTCAGCCAAATTTGAGTCCCCGAACTGGCAGATTATGTGCAAACACATGCATACATAGTCATAGAACACATGGATACCTACAATAATCCACAAACAGCATGTGTCTCCTAAGATGGGCGAGAAGAAAGGGCATGGAATTAATCCTGGTGAACCACAAACTGCTGGATGTCCTAGGCAGGACTTGGGCTTTGAACTCAGGGAACCCAGGAGAAAATGCAGATGAAAGTGGGTGAGGTCTTCAGAACCCTTTCATCAAAGTGGAGGACAGTGAACTTGTCTATTCTCCAAGGGGGCTGACTCTCACTCATTTCCTAGGTAGAAATCACTTTCAAATTGAGATATGCTTTGGGGATTTTTCCCTCCAGCAAAATTCTTTCCCATATTTCATTGAAGATTTTTACCAAGGATATCTTTTTGGTACTTAAATAACAAGGCAGAGAATCTAATTGAGCAATGCCTCATTTATCTAGCACTATCAGGAAAGAAATGAGATATTCTACAAACACACAAAAAAGGCATTTTGAAAAAGCTGAATCTTCTAAATTAAACTTTTTGATAGGAAGCTCTCTAAAAGCATGCCCTTCAATGCCTTCCTAGAATACTGAATATACATTCAACCTTTTTTTTCTCTCTCTCTCGGGATATCAGCACTCCCTCTTTTCTAAGAAATATATTTCCATCTTTTTTAACGTGCCACTTATAAGATACTGTGAGTTAGGGATTCAAAGAACTTAAAAGCTCAACAGAGGCAAAGTACTTACATCTCTTCCCTCCCTTCTGACTGGACTTGGTGCCCTTTAGGATGTCTCACCCCACCCCTGACCCCACTTGTGTCCGTCATGACTGTGGTACACAGCACATCAGATTACAATGCTCTGCTTACTCATCTACTCTCCCCACTATGTGGTAACCTAAGTAGGGGTGACTGTGGAGACTGGGATGATTTTCTCTGAATCTCCAAAGCACAGCCAGGGCCCAGTATACTAAGAATATTCAGAAAATGTTCACTTATTGAGTTCATGAACTTTTCAAAATAAGGTAGATTGTTACTATGGAGTAAAGGCCACAGGCTACAGAGCACGGGCTACCTGATGATGCCTGTTCACACAGCTCAGAGGCCCTTTAAGTGTCTGAAATTAGTTCCATTTCAGAGAGTGGAGGCTACTAAAAAATTTTATATGTATATGTAATATATTAAAGCTAAGTTTCCTTTTAAAATTATGCTTTGTGATGGCAATGTTTAAATCCATTTAGACATCAACAATGCAAAACCCCAGTATCTGTCACCAGAAAAAGTAAACATTCATGGTGCTCATCCATTGGAAAGACTCTTTGCACAAGAGGGGAACCAAAGCCCCCCACCAGGCATCTTACCTCTCTTCCACCACATCCCAACACACCTTCTCAGGGCCCAGAATGGCTGGACATGCCACCTGCTCCCTAACCTGCAGCCTCCCTTGGAAGGTTGGCCATGGTGTAGTCTGTGGTTATTCTGTGTCAGTCAAAGTGGGTTTGGGGTGGCTGGTTTTACTCTAGTCCAGCCCCAGATTGTTATCCAAATATCTACCTGCCCTCAAGAGGCCAGGGCCAAGGTGGACTCTTGAGGATACCCTGGCTCCTCCAAGGGACCAGTAACTGCTGTTCCCTCCCAAGAAACTCATGCTCAACCCTGTCTAGATGAGCCCTCGCCATGGAGGCAGACAAGTGAGAATGGAAACACAACACAAGCTGGAGGCAAGCCAGGCAAGCTCCCCACCCGCTGGAAGCACAAAAGATGGGAGTCACAGAGCACCACAGATGAGCAGCTCAGCCTGGTGCATCAGCCACAATGCTGCAGAGAACTTCATTTAAAGAAAATAAACCAAAATGACTTGCAGGAAGCCTGGGGCGATCAGAAGAGCAACTGGTTAAGCGAGTGATGGAGCCGGCACTGAGCTAGAAGCAATGGAATGGCCCCACTCGGAGACACGGATCAGATCATCTTACGCTTCTCCTGGGCCGACAGCCCCGTGCTGACTTCTTCAGCACTTTGTAAAGCACGTTGATCAAAGGTTCATTATTTTTAATCTGTTCCAAACAAAAAGGCAAATACAACAAAACGTAACAGGTAAGACATCAGACAACACTTGAAGCAGCCAGAACCTGGGGAACTGGAGAAGGGGAACCTTAAGGAGGACGTGCGTAGCGCAATTAAAATGAATCTTGGTGATGCTTATTCCCAGCTGTGGGACCTTTCTAGACTCCTCTGTGAAATGGAGCACACTAAAGCCCTGGCCAAAGGGATCTTGTACAGGCTGTTTATGTGACAGGACTGCTTCAGAGCCCACATCCTTCCTGGTTCTGCCACAGAAGACAAAGGAGAATTTTGTTTCTTCCTTGCCTCCCTCAGCATATTCTCTAAGATATCAAATCTGTGTTTAGAGTTGTGCCAATGCATTAACCTCACTGCTGCCCAACGTTTTCCAACTTAAGTCCCTTCGGACTTTTCATCTCCACCCTTAGGATGCACCTAAATGATGATGTCTTACACCAAAGGTTCAAAATACTTATAGCTCCTTTTAGGAAACACTGTTCTCTTCCTCTAGGAAAGTGGATTTTTCAACCTTGGTTGAAGACTGGAATCACCTGGGGAACTTTTAAAAATACTGATCTCTGAGTCCTACCTCAGGAGATCCTGAGGTAATTGGTCTGGAATGGAACCTGAGTGAGCACTAGGGTTTTTTTGGGTTTTTTCTCTCCAATGCTGGAAATTGAACCCAGTACCTCATGTGTATGAGGTGAATACTCTATCCCTGAGCTACACCCTCAGTCCAGCATAGGGATTCTTCAAAGCCCTCTGTCAGGAGCTGCTCTGGAAATACATGCCCTTTAGTCCTGAGCAAGAGATACTGAACAATTATTGTGCCCAGCAATAACTTGGGCTTTACCTCCACTCGGGTAACGAGGTGTGGCTCCAGGAGTGTCACCGGGTGGGGTTGAGTCACACTCACCTGTTCCTTTGTAATCTTACCCCTTTGCCATTTTGGGGATAGAATGTTCCATGGAACTTCCCCTTGTGTGCCCGCTAAATAAGAATAAAGAATTCTAGTGGCTCGCTCTTTCCTCCAACCCTTAAGGTCAGAGAGTCGTCATGGATTTTGAAAAGGTACTTCTGTGTGTTTTTGCATGCTTTCTTTGCCGTTTTCTTAAGTTATTGGAATAGTCAGATTTTGTGAACCCAGCATTAGGCCTCCAGTTAGGATAAATGACAACAGCTCTCCTTGGTGATTCTAATGTGCAGTCAAGACTGAGAACTAACGCTCCAAATCAATAATTCTTAACCTTTACAATGCCTCAGAATCACCTAGAGGGCTTGTAAACAAACACATTTGCTGGGACCCACCCTGGAGGTTCTCACTGAGCAGGTCTAGGATGGGACCTAAGATTTTTGCATTCCTAACAAATTCCTGGGTATTGCTGTTGGTCTGAAGATCTTTCAACCCTAGCTGCATATAACAAACACCTAAGGGATTTTCTTTTATTCTTTTTGCTTTTTTCAAAGAGTAATACCTGAGTATTAAAACACAGTTTCTAAGGAGTAGAACTCAAACATCTATATTCATTTAATGCTCCCTGGCAACTGGATGTGGTGGCACATGCCTGTAAATCCCAGCAGCTAAGGAGGTTGAAGTGGAAGGATCACTTGTTCAAATCCAGCCTCAGCAATGCAGCAAGGCCCTAAGCAACTTAGTGAGACCCTGTCTCTAAATAAAAATTTTTTTAAAAGGGCTAGGGATGTGGCTCAGTGGTTAAGTGTCCCTGGGTTTAATCTCCGGTACCCGAACAAAACAACAATAATAAAACACCTTCCTGGTAGTTTCAGTTCATGGCCAGGATTAATAATCTCTGCTCTAGAACAACAAAACTCAAACTTCAGTGAGCCCAAGAATACATCAAAACTTGATTACTTAATTCTGGTACCAGAGGCTCTAAATCAATAAAGCCCTTCCCTTCAGATCTGTTTTTGGGTTTTTTCTTTATCTTTCTTTTTTTATTTTAAAGAGATGAGGTTTCACTATATTGTCCAGGCTGGCCTCAAACTCCTGGGTTCAAGCAATTTTACTGCCTCAGCCTCCCCAGCAGCTGTGATAAGAGCACTCTACTAAAGCAGGCTTAGATCTGCATTTTAAAATCAAGCTTCCAGGTGTTCAGGAAGTAGATGATGTCCCAGATAATAACTTAAAAAACTCTGCCTCAGAAGCTGACTTTGGAACCAGACCCTGAACACAGAAGCACTGATTTTAGACTCAAACAGAAAGAGTCCAGAGTCTAATAGAATGAAGTCATTGGTGGCATGTTCCTCACCAAAGACATGAGCCCCTCTGAAGTTGACCACAACTTTCTGATCTGCAAAGGCACCTCCTCTGAGCAGCCACAGACACCCTCCTCCACCTCACCTTCCTGGTTGTCCTTCATAGACACATCAAAACAACTCACAGCCTGTGCAGTAGAGTACACCTATAGTTCCAGCTACCCTGGAGGCTGAGGCAAGAAGATCACTTAAGTCCAGAAGTTATAGACCAGCCTGGGCAATATATTGAGACCCCTCAAATAAATAAATAACAAACTAAAAATAAATTGAAAATAAACCAATTCAAGCTGTCAATAACTATGGGTCCCCCACACCACCCACTCTTTTAAGCCAGTTAGGGTAGAAGGTTCTGAATAGCAGAACTTACATGCCAGAAATACAAGTCAAAGAAGACAACTCTGGGGTGGCAAAGTATATTGTATATGAAAAAAAGAATGCAGGGGTGAAGTCATTTCCAGCCATGTAGCTTTGCAGAAATTACTTAACTTCTCTGAGACGTGGGTTCCTGGTTAGTAAGATAGAGATATTAGTTTCTATGGCTCAAGGTTAGTGAGAGGATTAAACGACATAAGTGGACATTAAGTCCCCAAACCCTGGGCCAGGCAGGGACAGCTGTCTGATCAATGTGGAGTCCTGTTCACCCTGGCACAACCAAGTAAAATGCTGAGAAGTAAACACTCTCTAAGCACACAATAGTATAGAGTGTCTTCAAAGAGCCCCTGGAACATTGCTTCTGGATATAGGAATTGGTATGTTCCTTTTTTGTTGTTGTTTTGTGATACTGGGGATAGAACCCAGGGCACTCTATTACTAAACCAAATCTCTAACCCTTTTGATTTTTTTTTTCCTGGAGAAAGGATCTTGCTAAGTTGCCCAGATCAGCCTTGTGATCCTCCTGCTTCAGCCTTCCAAGCCACTGGTATTACAGGCACACACCATGGTCCTGGTGGTATATTCCCCTGTGACTTAGCAGATTGGTTGGGTTTTGAACACTTGAAACCAAAAGCATCCCACTTAAAATACCTAGCAATAGTTCTTCAGGCTCTAAACCCTTCTCCCCTGATTCAGTCTTCCCTTTGTCTGGATCCTGAAGTGGGACATTCAGGCGGGGGTAGCCTTTCTGGCAGTCACAGCAGACTGATGATACATACACACAGTGCAAAGGCCAGGACTTCTCCTCACAAGTGTTGCTGGTGAGCCCAGTCTACTCTACTGTAGAAACACAGTAGTAGAAGCAATCTTTAAGAGAGGCCAGGTGGTGTGGAGATTAAAAGTACAGGTTTGAGAGAGCTATACCCAAATACCATCTGCCCCTCCCCATAACTGCTGTGGAGCTCTGGAAAAGTCATTTACCACCTCTGAGCCTCAGTCATTTAAAAGATGATACCACTACCTCTCATATAGGGCTACTGTGAGGTTTAAATAATTCAATTGAAGTCAAACGCAGTAACTGGCACACAAAACACCCTCTACTGTTATTAAGCTTTTTTTTGGAGTCAGGACACACAGGTACTCCTAGTTCTGCTGTGTTATCCCACGCCTCAATTTCTCCTTCTCTAATCTCTCATAGCTCAAATTTTATGAAGCTGAATAAAACAAACTCGAGGTGTAGCTTCACTCCAGGACCACCTCTGAGTGTCTGCTATTACATTCAAACAGGAATTAGGAGACAGGTAATTCCTATAGCCATTGCTCAGGCACTGTTTGGAGTTGCACTGTGCACCAGGCGCAGTTTTGTGTATGCCTGTGCAGCTGCTGAGCCAAGACTCTCCCACATGCCCAGTCCGTTGTAGAGACTCCATAGGTACTTCTGGACTGACTCCTTGGTCACAGGGTAGGGGCAAGAAGAATCTAGCAGGTGGCTATAATTGGTTATCAGAGAGACCAAGGAATGGGGATATGGTACTGAACAGAGCAGAGGGATATGGGGGCTGGTGAACCTCTCTCCATGGACCTCATGAGAAGGACCCTGCCTTCCTAACAATGCAGGATGATGAGCTGGTCTGCCACATTCAGACCACACAGTCACATTTGAGCACTCTGAATCCTGAGGTACAACCTTATTTAAGTCCCTTAAGCTCTGTGTGATCTGATTGTCATGTAAGCTGAAAAGATGTCCTGATCTTGGAGGCTGGTTGTGTAGCTCAGTGGTAAAAAGCTTACCAAGTATGCTCAAGACCCTGTGGTTCAATCCCTATCACAGCAAAAAAAAAAAAAAGAAAGAAAGAAAGAAAGGAAAGAAGGGAGAGAGGGAGGGAGAGAGGGAGGGAGAGAGGGAGGAGAGGAGGGAGGAAGGAAGGAAGGAAGGAAGGAAGGAAGGAAGGAAGGAAGGAAGGAAGGAAGGAAGGAAGGAAGGAAGATGTCGTGATCTGGAGAGTAATCTCCTACTTTTCCTCATGACCTCAACCAGGTTTGACTTTGTGCTAACCTTCCTTCTTAAGGACCAGGATAAAACTAGGACCCTGCCTTGGCCTCCACTTCATGGCCCTTGCAACTTCACTATATTTGGGGTCCCCTTGGCTCCTGTTGTTCCCTTTCCTTTAATCTCAACCAACTCCAACCCCTGGCTCTTCAATGTTCCACACATCTGCCACCTTCTCCAAAAAGTCTTCCTATAAGTCCACAGTACTTTTCACAACTTCAGCTGAGAAGGGATCCAAACAGATCTTTATACAGTCATTGTACAAAAGTCTGTTATTTGGAGATTATTTTCTTTTCCCAGACGGTTTAAAAATTTGAGATCAGAAAGGTCCTAATGGTACTTAAGCATGAGACCCCACCCCTATTTGCCTTCTTGGGGCCTACCATTCATGCCCCTGCTCTGCAAGGCTGGATGGAGACCCCCATGTTAAAACATCTCAAGCCAGGTACGCTTGGGGACCATGGGAGGCACAGCCCCATGGCAGTTGCCTGGGTGTCTCACAAGCTCCTCACCCACCCTTGGTTGATTAAAGGTCACATTCCTTCGGTCTTTTCATGGCTCAGGCCTAAGGAGTGCTGCTCACAGTGGGGGCTTTCAGAGAGCTGTGGGGAGAAACAAAAGCAGCTCTCTTTCAGGAGCCTTCACCAGTTCTCTGTGCTGTGCAGGCTGAGTCAATGCCTGGAGCTTTACCACCTACAGGGGGTGGGGGTGGGGGTGGGGGTGGGGTGGTTATTGGTAAGCCCTGAAATCACATAATTCCATGTGCAACTTGCTCCATAGCAACAAAACCAAATAATGCACCAAGCCACTTGTGGCTAAAATACATATCAGTGGCACCCCAGGACCAAACACAAACCCCTGCCCCTACCAGAGGCTCTAAAAAAAGTGAATGGTTATTTTAGGGGGAACTTTGGTTCTGACCAAGGGGAGAAAAGATCAAGATCTTGGGCCCTCATTATGTAAGCCAGATCCCTTATAGCAGAATAAAAAAAAAAAAAAAAAAAAAAAACTGTGGAGAGCCAGAGTTTGAGGCTGTAAGAAATGAATTTTTTCTGATTCATAGAGATTTCTTCATTTGGGATCCAGATTTGATAAGACTACATGGCCTTTGGCTTTGCGCTCAGCTCCAAGGAAGTGACACTGTCAGAAAGGTGAGTGTCAGAGGAAGGCAGGATCCCTGATGCCACTTACCTTTAGATCCAGGTACTCCAAGTCTTTCTTCAGCTGGAGGTAGGTATCATCAGCCTTCACAGGAAACACAGGGAGGGAAAAAAGAAAACCAAACAGTATGAACACCAAGACTTTTCATAACTAGGGGCTTCACAAGTGAATCATTTACATTACACAGCTTTGGAAACAAGAGGCCACGGCAGACCAACACATCCAGGGCCACGGAGGAAGCACAAAGGTCTTGCTATATAGCTCACAGAGCTCTTTTGGCACAGTGGAGACTGCAGGTCACTGTGGGCAAAGCCAGCTTGCCCCCCCCCCCAATCCCACTCTGCAGCATAACATTCTGGTAGAAAGGCTCCTACCAGAGGACTAGGGCAGCAGAGCAGTTGAAGCAGATGCTGGGCAGAATGAGGGGGAGTCTACCTGGAAGAGCACATGCTATACCTGAACTAGGGTTACATCAGTTTCGATTCTTTTTTTTTTTTTTTAGCTGTAGATGGATACAATACCTTTATTTAATTCATTTATTTTGATGTGGTGCTGAGGAATGAACCCAGTGCCTCACATGTGCTAGGAAAGCACTCTACCACTGCGTTCCAACCCTAGTCATCAAACCTTTGGACTGGGCCACTTTACATGCATGAAGTAAAATGACTCTGACTGGCATGAATGAATTCCTAGAAGAGTCAGGAAGATGACTTGGGTAATTCAGGAGGTCCCAATATGATGGTGGTTTCCAGAATAATAAGCATTGGCAGCCAGTGGAAGTTTCCTGAAGTCTTGCTCTTTTTACTCAGCATGAAGCCAATGTGGCCATGTCAAGAGTTAGAGGAAGAAGTCCCAGGATCAGACCTATCTGCTTGTGGCATCTCCTATTATCTGTTGAGCTCTTTGGTGTAATTACCAGAAACAGTGAAAATAAGCAAAAGCTTCTTTGATTCCTTAGAACTCATGCTCTCTTGTGAAACCAACAGTGAGACTAAGAGGCTGAGAGAGCTTAAGAATGGTCCAGGTGCCACATTTTTAGAAACTAAGAGAGGGTCTCCCAGTTAAACAAGCCAGGGCTGTGGAAGGTGGGATCATGCACAGCTCTGACATGAAACAATCACATTAGAAGTTCAGGTGGTGCTTTTAAACATGGGAAGAACTGAAGGACCACTGTCTAGGAAGCTTGTGGCTTGCAAGGTCTTATTTATGTCTTTACATTGCCCCTTTTCCATTCCTACTTTGCCAATCAGCCTAGTCCCTACTACTTTCCACAGGAGTAGAAAAGACAGAGCTGGAGAATGTTATTAAAAATCACCCAAACCACAATTTATGGTTTTTGTATATGTCCCTTTACAATCGTTTTTCATTTTCTTTTCCTTTTTTTTTTTCCCCTTCAGTACTGGGGATTGAGTCCAGAGCCTTATGTATGCTAGGCAAGTGCTGTACCACTGAGTTATGTCCCCAGACCTTCTTTAAAATTTTATTTTGGACAGGGTCTCCTTAAGTTGCCCAGTCTGTCCTTGAACTTGCCATCCTCCTGCCTTAGCCTCTCAAGCAGTTGGGGTTACAGGAATGTACCACCACAAAGCTCTTACATTCATTTTTCTAAATATATTCCTGAGTCTCTTAGTTCTTGCTAAAACAGGACAGGGAAGGAAGGTGACAGTTCCATCACCCTCATCTATCCCATCTACTTCTACTCAAGAGGCTGAACCTATCCCTACTTGAGGACAACTCAGGGGAGGAATCTGTTTCTTCGAGCTGCTCAAGATGCTTGGGAGAGCAACTCTCTGGCCAGTCCTCAAAGAGACTGACTGCAAAGCCTAATGTCCTGGACACTGTTTAGAACACTGCAACAGATAGGTTTTGCAAGGAATCCTGGATAAGTCCCCTCCCCTTCTGGATCTACTTGCTTTGTGTGTGTGTGATAAAAATTTCATCCCACCTAAGCTCTCCCATGGTACTGCAAAGCTCAACAGGATGAAATGTGAGATGCTTTGCAAGTCAGCAGGGCATTGTCCAGAAAAGAGAAGGCCCCTGTATTCTCCCTCCAGGCTGACCCTCATGTGTCTTTCAGCATCCCAAGGAGTGCCCAAAGTGGCAACAAGGCTGACAGCTGGCATAGCCCTTCAGACACAACCACACACCAGCTTCACAGTCACTATGTACGGCTTGCGAAGCCACGCTTCAGGTTTCTCACATGACATGCAGACCCCTCCCCAATGCCAGAGGGTAGGCTCCACCACTGGTGCAGCATCTGGTGGTGGCACCCAGAAGCAAACAGGCAGGGAATAAGGGAGAGAGCCAGACAGAAAAGACAGACCAGAGCACAGCACAGGGGATCATGGGCCAGCATGTCACACCCCGGCCCTGGGAGAAGCCACCAGCGCTGACCTGGCAGGTGGGAAAGGTCAGGTAGCGCTGCAGTAACTGGCCAACAGCGAAATCTCGCACACTGGCCAACTTGGCCTGGTGACGCCGCAACCGGGTGAGAAGCAGTGAGAGCTCCTCCAGCTGCAGGTGTGTAGACACATCAGGAAGAAATTAGCCACCGCAGGGGCACGCCACTTTAATTACACTCTTCGCCCCGGTGCCGGGATAGCACTGATGCTACACCACTAGGTAATGATTGCATTAATTTTGTCATTAGGACAAATAAAGGCAGTGGTAGCAAAGAGCTACAGGAAGTTGTTTTCTCAGGAAAGCTGCAACCAACAGTGCAACCTCACCCAGACTTGAAGTTGGTTTAAAAAAAAAAAAAAAAAACTTTTTGTTTTTTGTGGTGCTGGGAATTGAACCCAGGACTTCCTGCACGTTGGCAACCATTCTACTACTAAGCTACACTCCCAGCCCCCAGACTCAAACTTTGAAGGAAGAGTTAATTAATCATTGTAAAGACCAGGGAAAAAAGGAGAGAAGCTACTAGGAGAGAGCAAGTGGCAGGAATATGCTTTTGACAAAATTCTATTCAAAAGAGAAGCCGAGTCCAGCATTCCCTTGGACTTCCCCTTAAGTTCGTCTTTGAAGGGCCAGCTGCATGATGCCAAGCAAGTCACCGGTTTCCTTTGAGCCCGAGTTTCTTCATCTCTAAACAGGGGTTAAAGCTGCCTGATAGACTGCATGACCCAGGGAGGAGGAAAACCCCCAGTAGATAAGTCCTCACAGGCTGTATTCTATCATACATCTGGAGGAGGAGATGAGGGGTTGCTTACCGATTTTCCATGTAAACTGGGAGCACTGACAGTGTGGGTCATGTAACCCATTGAGGGCATGGAGCGTCGGTCCACATGAGAAGAGTTCTGCAGGTGGGGAATCAAAAAGTCACAGTGAGGCAAGGAAAGAAGGCCTTGGGCACTCTCTCCCAGGTCAGCCTACCACATGCCACTTCACCTCTTTGAGTTCCAGATTCCTGACTGTAAAATAGGAATACATATCTTCCTCAAAGGGTACAGCACAGAAAACTGTGAAAGCCCCTTGGAGAGTTAAAAGTTATGTTGGGCTGTAAATAACTGAACTGATTGAGCACAGACATCTTTTCCTGAGCAGCAGACTGTGTGACCTGTGCAAGTTATTTTCTCTTCAATGTCTCTGAGTTCTCATCTGTGGAATGGACCCATCACAGCACCTACTTCAAAGGGTTTTGGTAAGAATTAAAATAAAACTTCTAGAACTACACTTGCTTCCAAAAGTACTGCATAAAGTTAGCTGTTATTAGTTCCACTAGCTCAAATCTGTACTCAAGCCAGGTGAGGTTCTTGACACCCAAAGGCCAGACCCCAGGCACATGACAGAGGTTTTCAAGCCTCACCTTGATGGTATGGCCGCGTGTTTTTTTGGGAGAAGCCCCTAGTGAGATGTCCACACTCCTCCTCTGGTCCGGTGGCTTCACAGTAACCCTTTCTGCTGGCGTGTGTGGCCGCCGAGGTGGGAAGACCCTTGGAGGTCCGGGGGGAGGGATATCAGAGGGAGATGGAGGCACAGAGATGGAGCGGGGCACTTCCAGCATGCTCCTGCTCCGGCCCTGGTCAGAGAACTCCAGGGAGCCAGCACAGATGGGTGCTGTGGGGCTACCATGCCGGAACTGCTGGCGCTGCTGCCACTCATACAGCTGCCACACGGTGCCATCCCGGTGTGCCCGGCGTTCCTCACTGGACATCTTCAGGTGACTGGCTCGATCTTGTGCGTATTTGTAGTCACTTGGCAGGTTCCGGGGAGGGGGTGAAGAGCCCCCTGAGGGGTGTCGGGCACTCTTGGGCAGAGTCTGATAGTTTTCTGGGAAGGACAGTGGTTGGCTAGGACCCTGGCGAGGAAGTGTCTGGTCTGAGGGAAGGCTGAGGAGAAAGGGAAGGACAGGTCAGGCCACCAAGCAAGGAAACAGAGTTCAGTATATCCACAAAACCAGGCATGTTGGGGAGTCCTATAAGAACCCAAAATAATGATAAAGCAGACACCCAGGACTCCAGGCTCCAACTACTTTTGTAGAAGACTCCAAAAGTAGTTTTGTCTGCCAGCTCCCTACCATCTGCCCCATGTTCCTGTCTTCCAGTGTAGTGTGATTGAGTGGCCTAATCCTTCTGTCCCTCTTGCCAGCAGCACACATGGGTGTGCTCATGTCTAGAAAAGGCTTTTTGTACATCTGGGTTCCTGAGACTTTCCCTCTGCCTGGGATCCTAGGACCAAGTTCTGGAGACTCTTAAAGGAAGTGGCTACCATAGTTCCTCCCTTTTCCTACTATTCTAGTCTAGATACTGATTAATGATCTCACCCAGATTACTGGACGACCTTCCTAAATCATTCCTAACCTGAACAGTCACCTGCTCTGATCCAATCACTCCCATACTCCAAACTTCCCCATAGATTTATGAAATCAAATCTAAATTCCTGCACCTGGCCTCAATGCATCCTGCAGCCCTAGTGTTTTCTTTCTCCTCCTCCTACCAGGGCTAGGACTCAGCTGGGGCAAGCCAGATGCCTAGGGCTCAAACCTTAAGGAGGCACTCTCTGTCAGGCACAGCCCCACACCTGCTGGAGCCTGAAAATGAGCTTCACCCTGGTCCCAGCCCACTGCTGTCCACACCCGATCAACTTCTCACAGGGAAAAAAGCAGGTAGTAGCCAAGCACTTCCATTCACTGGCTATGCAACTCTAGGTGTCTTTCTGACTGCTAGGTCTTAGTCTCACTACCTATAGTGTGAGACAGCATTACCTGCCTCATACAGCTATTCTGATGAGTAAATGAGAACCTAAAGGAATATGGCATTCTCTGACAAGATCTTCCACCAGTGTGCACCACCTTCCCCCCTCTTTATTCTCATAACACTCTTCTTCCCTCCCCAATCTGTATAGGTTCTCCTCCTACTATTTACTCAAAGCTTATTCTCCAGGACAGTGGCCCATGCCTTTCTGATGGGGGCCTTCACAATGCTGTAGCCTTCAACATTCCTCCTTTGTTTAACTTCGTTATCACACTGTCTATACTGTTTCCAAGGTCCTTTGTGGATGTGACCTTTTCATACATGCAAGAAGTATCTTCCCCAGCCAAGATGAAAATTCTTGAAGGAAAAGAACTGTGTCTCATACCCTGTGGTATATTCCACAGTCTGGGGGAACTCCTGACACATATAACTAGTCCTTCAATAAGTGCTTCAAGATCTGGATATGACTTTGAAAACCACTAAGAACTTAGTCATCTTATTTTCTAAGAAGGATGAAAAACTCAGTAAGGGACAAATTATGGAGCTTTATTAAGCCTTAAAGTCTAACCTGTAAGTATGATTGTAAAAAGAGATCAGGTTTGGAGTCATGCCTGAGTTCAATACCCGATCCTGTTTTTATCAATTTTATCTAACAGACTTTGATATAGTACCACCATGTGCCAGACACAGTTCTATGCCAATGCTACTCAAAGTGTGGTCCACAGACCAGCAGCATCAGCACCATGTGGGTACTTGTTAAAAATGTATGTTAGTGAAATAAATCAGGAAAAGAATGATAGATTCTGTATGATCTAACTTATATGTAAAATATTAAAATGTGGAAGTCAAAGAAGCAAACAGCAGAACTGTGGTTTCTAGAGATTGGAAATAGGAGGATAGTGAGAGGGAGATGTTGGTCAAAGGGGACAAAATTTCAGTTAGACAGGAAGAACAAAAATTAGAGTTCTGTGGAATAATGTGGTGACTATAGCACATTTCAAAATTGTTCAAAGCTCAAAGTATTTTCAACACTAAAAAATAATAGATGAGGTGACATATTAATTTACTTAATTTAACCATTCTACAATATACATATATAAAATATTACATGTATCTAACATATATATATATATTATATAATTATGACTTTTTAATTAAAAATAAAATTTTAAAGTGCAGGTTATCAGTTCCACCACAGACCTACAAATCAGGAGCTCTGGGGCAGAGGCTGGTCATCTCTTTTAACAGCCCCCCCCCCCCGCCAGGGTGATTCTGACTCTCCCTGAAGTTTGAGAAGTGCTCTTCTAATTGTCTTAACCTCAGTTCATTTAATCATTTCTAGTTACCTGAACTCAGGCAATGTCATTTCTGTCCTCTGAATCTCATTTTCCTCAGTATAAAAAGGGGATAATAAGAACCACTTAATAGATTGTTGTGAGGATTAGCAATACATATCATTCAAATAGTTTTTTTTTAAATCCCCTTTAATGGTTACTTTGCAGGTTGCAGAAGGATATTTTAAGATATCTTCAACCCAGACCTGACCTGTGCACCAAGTGTGTTTGCTTGCCACTAGGTGGCAGGGTTAGCTTTTGATTTCTCAAATTTAGATAGGAATGTTTTCTCTGAGGTAGGCAGCACCTGCCTGCATCTGACGGAGGTGGTGGTGGGGGCAAAAACCAGGCTGAGGGCTTCCCCTGGGAAGAGCAAGACTTTAGCAGCCATTGTTCATTCTGCCTAAAGAAAACGTTAAGCACGCAAAGCATGTCTCAGCTGTACTCCCACCCTCAACCCTTCTAGTCTGGTTCTGCAGCTCACACTCTGTGCCTTCCTATAGCATCTGGAAGGTCTTAGCCCCTACACCAGGAAGTTCCCCAGACCAGACCTGTCCTCTTGCATGTGATCTGCTCAGAAGCCCACTCTGGGAGCCTGTCTGCTGTACCTGGATAATCAGAGACCCCTACTGGGCAGCGCCCCAGGCCCTGAGCTCATCCTACAGCCTGTACCCTCCATTTACATAATGTCTACCACTTGAGGGTGACCCCAAGATATAAGTACAATGGTAGGCTCTGACTTTACCAGAGTAAAAGACATGGGAGATAGCCAGAAGATGAGATAAAGACCCCCAGGAAGAGGTGGGAGCTCCCAAAGCAGCTCTGCCCTGACAGCAGATCTATTTGCTGGCCCCCACCCCAGTCTTACCCCCCCAAAATGAGATTCAAAGTCTTTTGTCCTCATACCCTGATCTGTAGCTATGGGGTCTCCCCATCCCAAAAGGCACTAAGCAGGATATTCCAATAAACCCACAACAAATGTGTGTGAAATATTTCAAAGTGTGAAACCATTTTTTGTAACCAATTATTTATGCAGCAGAAATTCCTTCCACATCAATCATGCAGGACTTCCTACTGTTCCTTATAGCAGTGTTTGAGTCCCCTTCCCAGTCTCCATCTCTGCCTTTTTATTTTACAAGGATGCTTTACTTTAAACTATGCAGTGGGGGAGGGGGTATAAGGCTAGAATTTCAAAACAAGCTCTTAGAATGTACTAATACACTAAGCTATGACAGTCTGATTCCTATAAACCATATTGTAAAGCAGTTTAATGATGTGAAATATAATATATATCTCCAAGTACCAAAAGAACAGTTAGGAATAATTCCCTGTGTGGTCTAAAGTCATGAATACAGGATCACAATGCAATCCAAATACCTTAACGTGCTCAGTCTAATGATAATGAGATTAGCACAGTCTTAATTATACACAAAGCAGAGATATCCATCTTCTATATTTTCCAGTAGAAAATGGTGGAGGTTCCTTATTAAGCGGCCAGATCTATTTATCACATAATGTTAGAAATTATAAATATATCTTTAAGAAAAAAAAATATCTGGGAATGCAAGATATAGACCTTTCAAGAAACAAGTGAAATATCAGTGATCTAAGCAGACTCAGAGATTGACAGCACTTTCTTCCCTGTACTCCGTCTTCGATTACTCTTATTCTCTTTTCAGCCCATTGAGATCTGCTTCCACTGCTAGACTGAAATTCCTTTGTATGTCAACAATCTCCAAAGCCTATGAACAATGTTCTCCACAGACCTAATGTCCCCTGCTCCTTAGATAAGAATGGCTCAAATGCCAACTTCACATTCTAAGAAAGTCCAGTGACCTTCCCAGCCACCTCTCCTCTCCTTATCGACTTATCCTTCAGCTTCCTGATGCTTACCCCTGTTCCCTAATACAGGTCATTTGTAGCAGAGCTTGTGAATTGCCAGAAATAGTTATGCTGTGACATTTCACAATTAACAACTTTAAATTGCCAGTCACCCCTTTTTTGAAAGTCCTTTCACCACAAAAGAGTTCTCAGTGTCATCTCATTGGCTTCTTCCCCTCCTATGACTTTGTTTCCTGACCTACCTTTGAAATTCTCTATTAAGGACAGCAATACAGCTCTGTCCATTTAAAGACCACCCAGAAACTCATAGGAAAAAAAAACCTGTAGTCATGAGCAAAAGACCAATAGAGACCCTGAAGTTCCAGACTTTTCTTTAGGGGCACCCACCTTGGAAGGTACCACAGCTAGGGAGAAGTCCTCATTCACAGCACCCTGCACTGCTGACCAAACTCCTTCCTATGGACACTGTCTCCACAGAACACTCCAGTTATCCTCCTTCATCTCCTGCTTCATTCTTTTTTCTTTGGGCGGGGGGACCAGGGATTGAACTCAGGAGCATTTGACCACTCCCCATCAAACTCACTTCTCTGGCCTACACCTGAGCCACATGTCCAGCCCTTTTTTTGTATATTTAGAGACAGGTTCTTGCTGAGTTGCTTAATTTCTCACTTTTGTTGAGGCTGGCTTTGAATTCACAATCCTTCTGCCTCGGTCTTCCAAGCAGCTGGGATTACATATGTGCGCCACCACACCCAGCTCTCAGTTCCCTTTAAGGAGACTGTTTTTGCCTAGGCGTTGGCCTGGGGATTCCCAGGGTTCTGTCTTTGGCTCTCTGCTATAGCTCACTCTGAGCTAGGAATTATCATCCCTGTCTGCATGTGAGAATTATCGACGGAGGAAGAATAGGAAAGCATGTGCTTTTTAAAAATCCTGATGCTCAGGCTGTAACCCAGGCCAATGAAAGCAGATTTCTGGGCATGGAAATGAGGCCTCCATCAGTGTTGAACCTCTCAAGTTAGGCTTGTTTAGCCAAGCAACAGTTTCTTAACTGTGGCCATATACTGGTGGGATCACCAGGAAAGCTCTTAAAACATACAATGCCTTGACTTTACCCCAGATCAATTAAAGCTCATGATCAAATTGTAAGGCCAGGATTAAGAATCATGGCTCTAAGCATTCTACCTTGGGTAAGTAACTACTGCCAGAGCCATCAGTTATCACCTCCAGAGCAATGACCACTAATCTCTCTACTGACTATACTCACATTCCTTATAACCTACTGGTCATTTTCTCCTGGACATGCCACATATACAGTACTCACAAGCTCACTTCCCTGGGCTGTGCATACACCTGGCTCAAGGCACCACATCTACCTATAAACCTGAACACCAAGTCCAGTTCCACCTGCAGTCCTCTCCACTGACATTCCAAAAGGGAAATCCTGATTTTCTCCAAACCTATTCTTTGCTTAGCCGTTCTCGTTTCAGCAACTACTTACTCAAGTCAAAATCTAAGGATCATCCTCATTCCTCTTTTCCCTTCAACCTGCACATCCAATGCATTGACAAACTTCATGATTTCCATCTTCAAAAATACCTCAAATCTGTTTATTTCTATTTCCATCATTACCAACCTGGACTATTGCAATAGCTTCCTCCTAGACTCTTATTTTCTTTGAAAAATATTAATCAGATCACATCACTTACCTGCTTAAAGACTTCCAGTGATTTCCCATTGTTTTTTCAAATAAAATTCAAATGCCTTACCTTGGAAAATGAGGACCCCCATATGATACCACCCCTGCCAATTTTCTAACCTCTCTCAGCAGTGGGTCATCTTATACTCACTGCCTGGGTAGGGCTCACCTTCCCCAGCACCAAGAAGAGCAGCTTCACTCCCCTGCCTGGGGCAGTAGCTTTCTATTTTCAATAAGACACAAAGTTGAAAGGGGAGGGGGAAAAAAAAATAATTGACACCTGGTCATTCCAAGGTGGGAGTGGGAAGGTATCTTAGTTACCAAATAAAAGGCCTTCCCTGGTTTGTTGCCCAGCTATGTCTCTCAATCACTTAAAGGGATTCCATTGTGATTTTTCTATGTCCATCCTCACAATAACCCAGCTAGACCAGATTAAGGGAGGGTCACAGCAATCCATGCATACAGCTCCACACATCTGAAAACAGGCCCAAACTGTTCCCTGAGGAGTACTACAGTCTGCAGAGCCACAGGCAGACAGTCTGGGTCTCATCAACATTTTAGAATATGTCATCAGGCCTGTGGCACACTGAGCTCTGGTACATCTACCATTGCCTCTCCAGACCCTGGAAGGCTTTCTAAATTCACATTAGCTTTACTATCTCCTCTCCTTTCAGTGGTTTGTTTTCAGAAGGCTGAAGACAGTGAGGGAATTTGTCATGTCTTCATAATGAAGACAAAGTACAGTGGTTACTGGGGACAGCAGAGAAGCTGGGTGATCCTGGATTTTTCATGTTCATAAATGTGTCCTAATTAATTTAAAATTAGAATATGATGCAGATAGTGCTTTGCAACTAGCAAGAGATGCACCTCTTCTAAACAATTAAAGATCACTTCTTGAAGGAATGGGCTTGATAAAACCTAATGTCAACAGGGTCTGAGCACTTCTCCATGTGCCTAGAATGAAATCATGGATCTGTATTTACTTTCATTTCTACAAATATTTCTCAGGTGCAGAGAGAAAGAAGCAAAAGAGAAGATCCATTACTATCTCAAGAATGAATGGCTCAAGCATCATCAAAGAGGAGCACAGACACCTTGGTGTAACTCTGTGTGGGCTTGGGAGACTCACAGACCCAGGTGTGAACTCTGGCTTTGCCTCTAGTCTCTGTGCCCTGGGTAGGTTCCTTCACTTCTCTATGCCCCAGTTTCTCTGTCTATAAATTAGAGATATCATTCCTCCTTGCCAGGCTGTTAGAGGGATTTATGTAGATAATGGAGGTAAAGAGTTTAAGGCAGGCATTTACCCAGTGAGTGCTGAGGAAATGATAGCCATTGTTTCTACATTATTATGCCCATTATTAGCAAGATCCCGAGTCTACAACTGACCTCCTGCCATCTCCCTTCTGGGCCTTTGCCCAGGCCTCTGCCTGGGCCAGGCTGCTCTTCCTCTGGCTGTGCTTCTCTGGGTTGGCCCTTGGAGGAAAGGCCCGCTGGTACCCGCCAGTCCCGTTCTGCTCTCCTGGAGTATAGATGGGGAGCACACCATTCTTCTCTGCCCGCTGTGGCTGTGCCTGCTGGCCTCTCGGACCACTGGGTAAATCCACAAATAAGGAATCCTCCTCTGCTGGTGAATATGGGGACCTGGACTTGCTCCTGTCCCTCTTCCCCTCCAGTGGGTCCTTTTGAGAACGGTACCGCTCTTCCTCCTGCTCCCGCCTCTCAAAGCCGAAGGAATTATCATGGCCACAATGAGGACAATCTCTCGAATGTCCAGGTCCAACACGGCCACAGTCTCGACACAATTCTGTGTGGTTGGCTTGGGGCACTGCCTGCCGCTCCACCTTCTCCATGTCCCTGCAAAAAACAGCAACAAATTCAGCCAATTCCACAGCCAAAACTCCTTGATACAGACATTACACTCACTCACCTCTGGGCCTTTGCACAGACTATTCTCTCTGCTTCAAACACCTTTCATGCCCCATCCTTCATTCTTTTGGGGATCTGGCTTAAATGTTACCTCCTCCAGGAAGCCACCCCTGACACAGACCCTTAATTTAGGATGACACCTTATGCTGACCCTATTGTTCGCTAATTATACTGGGAACCAAACTCTGTGTTAGAGTTTCCTTTGGACTAGAGGCCTGATCATTGTGTATGTCCAGAACTTCTGCAAAATGACTGGTATGGAATGGCACTCTGTAAGTACTACAGGATAAAAGAACAAGTGATAATTTCATGAAATCCGTGACGTGTTCCCATCCTACTCTGTATTACTGATCCTGCCTTTCTGCTGTTTGTCCACATGGCTGTGTGGGGCAGTCCAGCTTGGAGCCCAAGATCCTGAGCCCAGGATCTCTTCTACTGGTGTCTAGCACAGACAAAAGTAAAACTGGCAACTTAATTAATACTTTTCAGATTTAGAACAGGCACCCCTCCATACAACCACTTTATCTTATCAGGGAACAGCTCAAACAGGAACCCAATAGCACTGACCTAATGATCCTGTATTAGTAGTCAGATTTTAGAGCTAAGGAAATGGAGACACAGAGGAAACCAATGATTTGGCCTAAATCATACAGGTGGAACTCAGTGACACCAGGGGTTAAACCCAGATGAACTCCAGAGCCCGTGTGCTCTAGCCTCCACTTCTACTGACTTTCCATGTGTGTGTCTGTGGTTTGCCTCCATGCAAACCCAGCAATTATGAAGGAGAAGAGAGGATGATAGCTCAGGGTATGAACTGAGACTAGAGAAGGAGCTCTGGAACACAGCAGAGGGCTCATCTCCCACTGTAAACTGCCCCTCTTCCTCCTCCTTGGGATAAGTCCTAATTAAGTCTGCATTCCCACTGGAGTCTGAGGAACATACTCTAGCCCAGATGGACTAGAAAAAGATGCTTAATGGGGCGGCAGTCCAGCTGCACTCCTTGGTAAAAAGGTTCTGGTCTTAAGCTGCTTCTCTCTCTCTCTCTCTCTCTCTCTCTCTCTCTCTCTCTCTCTCTCAATTGGCCTATAGTTTTTATTTGGGAATATTTTTTATCAGGTTTTGGCATTAAGATATTCTAGCTCTGTAGAATTTACTGGGGGAGTGTTCATTCTTTCCTATGATCTGAAATTTAAAAAAAAAATTTATTTGTTAAGATGCATCACTCAAAAATGGTCAAGCCAGTAGGGTCTCCATTTCAATCTCAGAAAATATAATGGAAATACTGCTACATTTACATCTCAACAGCCAGACCCCAGGTATCCTTGCAGCAACCTTAGAACCTCAGCTACTAACAATCAGCACAGGACAGAATCAACCCAATCTGGGAAACAAAATATTAGTATGAAGTGAAAATACACTCCCAGCACAATTTAGACATGGAGAACTGAGAAAAGCAATCATGCTTCTGTCAATGTCCTAATGCCCTTTTCCATGGATATCCTAAGACTTGTGAGAAAAAAATAATAATAATGCTCCTTAAGACCTCCCTTTATTCATCACTAGGGGTCGTCCTTCCTTCCCATCCACACCTTCATCCATTGCCCTTCTGATAACAGCATTATTTTCATTTAGGGATCCCCCCACTCCAGTCCACATAGTTTGGGCCCTGCTGTCTCTGCTACTCTTTGTCCCCCTGAGGCCTCAGAGTTTCAGTTACTGGTTCATGGCCCAACCCAGGCCAATTAGAGTTAGCCCTGGGACTTTGGCTAGAGCTACTCTTGAGAGCTGCTGCAACTATGTGGAAAGACACTGAGAATGAAGCCAACACCAAAGAAAGCAACTAGAGAGAAATAGAGTCATACTAGGCCCGAGGTCTCAGATAGAGCCACACCTAAACCAAATACATTCTCAAACTTTCTGGTTGAGAACCAATAAACTCCTCTTCTCATTAAGACTTTGGTTTTTATTGCTTATATTGGAAGGACTGTTACATTATTTTATAATGACACTCTGAAATAGTGACCTCTAAGAACCTCTCCACTGCTAATATTCAGTGGGTCTACCAGCTCCAGAAGAAAGAAAATATGAGAAATATTCAGGGACCTCTACTTCAAGAAAAATTGATTCTTACACAGGCTTAGGAAGGGGCAACTCTGATACACAAGGTGTGTATACTAAAATTAAACTTTCCTTCCTTCCTTTACTCCTCATCAGTGTAACCCACCAGCATCCATCAAGTTGGCTAACATGGCTCTTATGTTCTTTACTATTTCAGGAAACCACCCATGGAGGATGTGCTCAGGCTGCCATTGAGATGATGAAAGCTCGGCCTTCTGGGTCGAGGAAGCTTTATGACCCAGCACACCACTTTGGATTCACTTGCTCCAATATTTCCAAGTGGTTACTCCAATTGGGAAACCCAAGTAACTATCTTCTTGTTATTCATACCCCAGAGACAAACAGCACCTTGTCATTAAGAGCCAGATAGGAAATAAACATGCCACCAACATGTATGGCATTAGAACTGAAGGGAAATGAGGGCTTCTTCAGCTTCAGAACCTAAGGATTATAAGTGCAATGTCTCAGCCCAACAAATTGTATTTGCTTTCTTTACTAACCAACCACCATGGGTTTACTGAACACCTATCCATGCCTTATTGGGACAGACACCTGGGGTATAAGAAAGTAGTAGGGAAAATAGCCTCTGCCTTTAAAGCCATATGACTCTCAAGTTCAAGCCATGGTAACATTTAATAGTATTCTTATAAATACTTAACTTTACCACATGGAGTTTGTTAGTCTCCTCTAGCCTGGGAGTTTATTTTATAACAAAAATCATAGTCCTTACTGCATGTGTACGTATGAGGATACATGCTAGTAATTCCTGGAAATCAATTTTATAGGGATTATATATCCTTTTCTTCAGATTAATACCAGCACTCAATGCAAAACAAACCTTTAGAGGGTGGCTAAAAGGATGGTAGTCTGCTTGTCATCGAGCAGTTTACTTCTGGGTTATAAACAGCTCCTTATTCCCCCAGTTCCTAGGACTTACATAATATGCACCTTTGGTCCCACAATGTTCAGGTTGTGGCTGCAGGTGAGAAAGGTGCAGGTAATGTTCCATATTGCCCAACCTTCCCTGAATTAAACATTTAATATTCTAAGCTATGAGATCTAAGGCCAAAAAGAGTTTTTAGTTTCCTCCTTGCATTCTCAACAACTTAACACATAACTTCTCAAGTCAGGAGACTTATCACAAAAGAGATCTGCAATGCTCAATTCAGCACAATGGTGGGAAAGAATGAAGCACCCCTTGGCTGTCTAGGACTGTGTCATTCAGAGGACTTGGCCAGGAAGAGCACAGATGCTCAGCTAAGATGACACAAGCCTTTCCAGATGAGCTGTTGTTTCTGTGCAGGTCATCACTACCATCATGAACAAATAGATCAGTGATGGTCCAAAACCACAGAGAATTCCTGACACTCAGTGACCATTTTGTTCATATGTGTCACTTTTTAAAAACAACAACCCAGCAGGGAGTTGTGCCACACACCTGTAATCCCAGTGGTTTGGGAAGCTGAGAAGGAGGATTGCAAGTTCAAGGCCAGCCTCAGCACTTAGCAAGGCCCTAACCAACTTGGTAAAACACTGTCTCAAAATAAAAATAAAGATAAATAAAAATTTAAAAAGAGCTAGGGGTGTTGTTCAATGGCTTAGTACCCAGTACCAAAAAAGATAAAATCAGAGGGCTTAGGGCTTAGCGCCAGTCAATTGTGAATTCAAGAACAGACTCTATCACAGTTGAGCTGAGTGACCTTGGGCAAGTGACCTCTCCAATATCATGTTTCTCATCTGTGAAATGGGATAATAGGCTCTGCTTCCTTGTGAGAATTAGATAGAATATACAGAAAGATGTTGTACTATCCAACATTTATTCTTTTCTTCTTTGCCCCATTTTTTTTTTCAAAGCAACAGTATATCCAGCAAAAAACTTATATTTCCCAGTCTCCCTTAAAGCTGAGAGTGGTCATATGTAACACTGGCCCAGTCAATAAGTGTAAGCAGAAATTGTTGGGTGGGTCTTCCAGTAAAGTCCTTAAAAGAACACAGGCTTAGATAACCCTTCTCTTCTTCTTGCCTGAAATTTAAACTCTATTGGATGGCAAGGTAACAAAAATGAGGATGAAAATCACACACTAAAACTTGGGCATAAAGAACTCAGGGTTTCTGATAGCACCATGAAGCTACTGTACCAGCCTAGATACCCTACCTCCAGATTCCTGGAGAAAACTAAAACCCCATTTGATTATGCCACCTTAATTATTCCCCCAGTTCCTAGGACTTATTAGGGGTATTTCATTGTTAGTAACTAAATGTACTTCCTAACCAAGGAGAAAGGCTAAGCTTATAATAGGATGAAGCTGGGTCCGTTCATTTTCTGCACATCACAAAATACTGTGTCTGCTTAGAACAAATTCTTATTTCTCCCTGCAAATCGCAAGAACACTTATTTCTCATTGGCAATACTTATCTTACTCCTTTTCTTACCAAGAACTTGGAACTTAATAGATCTTACCAAGTAGTTGTGCACTATTATTTTGTCCTGTCTCTAAACCTTTATCTTACCAGGCAATAAATAATAGAATTTCCTGCTATCTTAATTCTAAAAATACACAGACACACCCTACATATGTCAAATGTCATTCAAAGGTTGAGGCAGGAACAGGAATGACAGCATGAAGGGGCTTGTGTCCTCCTGGCAGGCACAGCTCTTCTATTGTATTACCATTGGAGGGATTTCCACCCCAATCATCTTACCTAGATGGCCAAACTAGCAGTTAAGAACAGGGTCAGGCCACTGATGTTTTGGAGGCTTTGATCAAAGCCAGGTCAAGAGGCAGACATTCTGCCATGAGAAGCTGGCTTAGCCTGTGTTGACAGATTCTGAGTTTTGAGCACTGATCCCCAGTCTCTGAAGCAGTGTAGGCTCACAAATCAGAACCCACTCTGGACACGATCAACAGACTTGTACAAAAGGTTGAAGAGAAAAGGGCCCAAAGTATCTGGAGAGCATTCAGGAAAGCTTGCTCGCTCAAATTAGTTCCTAGTATGTGAGGAAAGCGTTGGTGGAGAGCAACCGAGACAGAAATTGGTCTCTTCTTTCTCTTGGAGTTAAACAGGTCAGTCCCCCTGGGATGGGGGAAGATATCCTGATAACTTTCATGCTCAGCCTGCTCTACCTGAATTAACAATAGAGGGCCAAACGGCTCTGGCAGCACACTCCAAAACTCTCCAGGCTGCTGCCCCCAAAGATGGAGGCTGCGAAATAAATGAAATAGCCCGACTGCCAAGCAGAGGCTGCCTCTTGCATCAGCAGAGTGGCTATTGGCAAAATCCCTTGTGAAGTTGTAAGGACTGACAAACCAGACAAAGAAAAGAGAAAAGACATTCAATGGCTGCTAGGTCTCTCCACTATATTCATTTCTGCCTGAAGAATCCTTCTCTCTTCCTTCCACCTGGGCAAGTCATACAACCTGTCTTAGCTTAGCCTCAGCCAGTCTGAAGCTCTGGAACATGCTACCTTCATTGACTTTCCACCTCTCTACAGCAGTCAGTCAAGGTATTATTATTATTTTTTTAAATGTCCAATGTTTGGTTGCTGATATATGATGTGTCCTACTGTGTACCAGGAATTTGACAGAGACCATCTCGAATCCTTACAGCAATCCTACAAAGTCAGGACTGTCAAGCCCAGAGAGGCAGAGGCACTCACATGAGTAAGCATATTACTTATGATAAATTATCTCTAATGAAGGATAGGGACAATGGCAATGGCAGCTATCACTAACTATACATGAAATGAAAACCTGAGCTAAGCACTTTATTAACTGTTCTTATCACACAAATCCACAAGGCAGGAGATGTTATTATTCTTTCATTATAGGTAATGAAAGTGAAGTTCAAAGAGGTTGACCAACTTGCCCTGAATCATACACAAGTGACATAAACAGGACTTGAATCCCACCTGAACTGACTCCAAAGCCCTGCATCAGGCTAAAAAATGTGTTTATAAAGTACTTATTCTGCTGAGGGTCCAAGGGGTTTATCCAGCCTCCAGGGTTAGCCTCAGGGGTTGCCCTGCCAAACATTACCCAAGGAGATCAGAATGTGAAGGCAAAAGATGCAATTATTCAAACAAGTACAGAGAGCCTGGTGTGTGGGGGCGCTTTCTGAATAGGCTGGTTCCCTATGCACAAATCCTAGAAGAGTGAGTGTTCAGATTGCTCCCAGTCATCCTAGGTCCTTATTTGAATGTCTTATAGGTGAAGGTTTCACAGCTATTTGTTCATTCATTCATACCTGCTTGGCCAGCCAAACATCCATGCACTTATCCATAACTGAACACTTAGTATTCTAGGCACTGATGAATGAGTTTATTATTTTCAAGTAGCTTAAAGTCTGATAGGGATGACAATGAAAAAGTAGGCCCATAACTTAAGCACAAAAGATCTATGACTAAGGAACGAAGATCTAAAGAATGTGTTGGAGTAATCCTGGTAAGGGTGAGAGGGCTGGGGTTGAAGATGAGCAAAGCCCAGAGGAATCCTGGCACCTCATGTGAGACTTCTATCTTCCTCCCAGATCTTATCACAGTCTATTTTCCCTCTTGCTCACTTTGATTCGGCTACATGCTAAGCTCATTCTTGCTTCAGGGCACTTGCACATGCCATTCCTTCTGCCAAGAATGCCTTTCCTCAAAGTTTTGCAAATTTGACTTATATCAATCTGGCCTCACCTCTATATCATCCTCTTACAGAGGACTTCCCCTGACCACCAAACAGAATGGGCTACTCCCTTTCCCTGGTCCCACCCTTCCCTATCTCATGTTTTACTGTCTTCATGCACAGATCATGATAAAAATTTTCTTGTTAATTCATCGCCTGTTTATGGCTTACTTCTCCTCACTCCTCTCCAGAATATAAGTTGCATGGGACTTCGCTTCTCTCTTTAAACACTGCCACGTTTATCAGTGTTTAACCCACACTATGCCCTCAATAAATATGTATAGATGAATGCATGAACAAGTGCACTGGGTTTCACGTTGCTGAAATTCCAATATGGCTGAGACACGGAATGAGAATGGCAAGAGGTAAACCAAATATGTTTGTAGGGACCAGGCCCATACAGCCCTGCCAAGGAAATTGGATTTTACTCCAAAGGTGACTAGATTTTAAATTTCTTTGGTCCTGAAACAGAGTTACAGTAACACCAGAAAGGCTCAGAGACTGAAAAAAATGGGAGAGTTGTTTTCTGCTATGCCCTTCTGTCTGAATCACTTGTCAGTTTTGAGAGCTGGGAAAGCAAATGGACCTCCTTGTTTAGTACTTCAGTTTAGTAGAGAGGACAAAGCACCCTTAGATAAATTGGGGATACAGATTTACAGATTTCAAGGAGGCTCTAGGGAATCAAAAATCAGAATCCAGGGTCAGATGAGTGGCAGAATATGGAAATGAAAGAGAAGCAATTATGGAAAGAGGAAGGGGAGCAGACTCTACTAGCAGGGCTCGCTGCGATCCCCTTAAAAGCATGTGGTGTGGAGTGGGGGCACTATCATGGGACTCAGAAGCCAGTGCAGAAAACGAGAAGACAAAGGTAGGAGGAGAAGCAAGGGACCCTCAGCTCTGCTCCTGAGCCACATAATTTTAACAGGAAGAGGCTGGAGGAGGCAGGAGCTGACGAGCAGGCTGGGGGTAGTGCTGCAGGGAGCCTGGACTGCCAAGCTACAACTCACATGGCAAGAGGAGGGGGACATCCTGGCAAGGGAGAGTGTGTGATTTGCTCACAGGACACTCATGATCAACATGATCTAGAGGATTAATGATGAAACTAGAAGAGTGTTTGGTGGGGAGGGATATCACCAAGCCAAACATCATAAAAGCCAGCATATCTGCTATGGAGCACATACTATATCTCTCAGGCCTCTGCTAAGTAAGCACCTTATATTTTCATTCATTTAATCCTTGTAAAGATCCTATGAACTCAGGAAAACTGATATTTTTAAAACACACATAACTTGTATAAGAGTTTATAGCTAGAAAGCAGGAGAGTTAGGATTTGAACCCAAATCTATCTGAAATCAGAGACTAAGCTTTAGGAGGAGACAAAAGAAACAGAAGAAATAGGAAGTGAGGGTGAATCAGCCAGCCAAGACAATGGTTGCTGAGGCTCCCTTTACTTCATTTACTTCATTCTAACAAGCCATTCTGGGTCCTCTGTCCATAGCCCTTACCTTTCCTTGGAAACCCATCCTCTCCTCTCAATCCCTTATAGCCGGAGCCTTTGTCCCCAGAAGTGAGACGTGCTAATCAGCCTGTGCCAATCAGCATGATGCATCCCTGGCCACAGTGGATGGTTTATAACTTATATGTACTCTCAGCCTGTCTACTCTGGATGGATCTCAGAGCTCTGGACAAGACTCTGGTTCTTTCCTGCTGACTTTAACCTTGATGGCCAAGTCTGGGGTTATTGCAGTTATCTTACCCCCATATCCTGGATGTGCTAGGGACCTTCCCGTGGAGCTCAAGACTAAATCCAACCTAGAGGTGGGCAGAGCCCAGGGCCTGAGAGAATGATTTATAATGACATTGTCTGAGCTCTGAACCCAGCTGTTCTGAAGCTGGATCTATCTTGAGCTTTTCAGTGACATGAACCAATGATTTTCCCTCTTTAAAGGTAGATTGTTCTATGCTTTCATTCACCTGTAATCATGAGTGCTATTAATACACCATCATTCACCAAGAAAGCAATACCTATATGAATGAGGACAGAAGGATCTGGGTGAGAATCACAGAGGGAGAGAACAAAAGCTACCCCTGGGGCCACCCACTTACAGAAAGTGGTTCTGCAATGCACAAGACCAGACTAGAGTAGAGGCAAGATTCAGTCTGCCTGACAGATAATTTTAACTAACCAAATGTCTGAACATCTTATTCTGGAAAAATAGAACATTTAATAAGTCTTTATTGCTTGGCTGACAATTTCTCCTCTCAAGAACTTAAGGGAAAATGTTATTATGTCTTTATTATTCTGGCTTGAAAGATAGAACAAGTTTTTTAGTTTTGTTTTTTATCCTTTTTCTTTTTTAAGAGGGAAGGAATCTTGGACAAACATGATCATGGAGTTTTAAGAGTTTATTAAAAGCAAAACAGGAATAAATTTCAAAAAGTTTAGAGAAAAGTTAGAGACAATACAATGGCCTCAGACCATAAAAGAAAAGTATCCCTTCTAAAACCAAAAGATGACAGCTAATTACATATTCTTCAGGTAAGAAGAGTAAAAAAATATCCAAATCATGGCTAGCAAATTAATCCTCAAGAGGCAAAAGTCATTTGTCAATCACAGCACCTTTTCCTGTTAAAGCCCATGTTATTCTCAAATTTTCTTTTACCCAGTACTCTAGTTACTAGTTGGCCACAATGCATTGAACAAAGCTGGAACATAAGAAGAAACCCTCTGACTTTACATAAAGTGTAAGGGCTGGGGTTGTGGCTCAGCGGTGGAACGCTTGCCTGGCACGTGTGAGGTCCTAGGTTTTATCCTCAGCACCACATAAAAATAAATAAGTAAAATAAAGGCATTGTGTCCAACTATAACTAAAAAGTAAATATTAAAAAAATTTAAAAAAAAAGAATAATGTGTGGGGGGGGGCATTAGGGACCAGCATGTGTACCAAGAATAAGTTGTGTCAAACCTATTCAGTTTCTTTCTCCTAGGGAATGCTAATGACATTGTGAACAAACACCTGAAGGCTACTTGGAGAAGCTTTCATGTCATCTAAGCACCACAGAATAATTCAGGCTGGAAGACAATGCTAGAAGGTAGAGTCAAAACTGACTGAATACCTGTAGTAAAGAGCTACTGGTTCAGGGCCCATGGGTAAACTGCTCAGTCTTTGGTTCTGTCCTGCTCAACATATTCATTCATTCATTCTTTCAACCTGTTACTCAACAGTCATTTGAGAGCTTGTGTCAGATGTTGTGCGGAAGACACAAAGATAATTCCCATGTGGAGCCTAGGATACCGAAAAGACGACAGAAGGGGAGATAAAACCCAGTGTGATAAATGCTTGGGCTGAGGTGTTATATAGGGAGCTCTGGAGAATAGGGCCTGACCCCAACCTGCCCTGTTGAAGGAGATAACTATATATCAATGGTTTATCTGCCTCGAGAAAGAGAGCATAATGCTGGGAAATAACATGAATGCCAAAAATTACACAATCGGAAGTTAGAAAAGGTTGAAAAGTTAAAATTCACCATGTGAAATTCATTTGTAGTCACTCAAACATTGCACTTTTAGGTTGCTGGAGAATGCCCACTTCAAGCCTCACTGAAAGAACATTGTCCAAGGAGCCTGTACACCTACCGAGGTGTCTTTGTAGTCAAATGGGACCCATATTCAATGAGGACTAGCTAAATATATACTAAACTTCTTTGGGGCTTTTCTGTTCTCTCTCTGAGTCTCCTACTCCGCTCTTACTCCTCCTTAGCATTTTCTCAGGGTGTCATCTATAACTAACAGACTCAGGAATTTCAAGATCCCCCACTATATCCTTGGTTGGGCCACTCAAGGAAAGAAGCACTGAACATGGTAGGCAGCTGTAGCACACTTTCAGTTGGTAAGACCTTTCTTGCCAGCCATGCTCCCTTCTGCAATATGGTGCCCCAAGGTTGTACCTTCTACCACACAGAAAAGAATAAAAATAGAGAAGCACAAATATACCAGTTCCCATGGCTGTATATCCCAGGCAGTTGGTACACCCCTCCAGACCTTAGTGTTTCTATATAGTAAAGAAAGGGGAACTTCCACCTGGGGTGGGCAACTTGTGTTAGTTGTTTATGGATTCTCCTAGAGGCACTCATTGTTAAAAAGAATTTCAAAGAGAGGAATGATTAGTACCAGGGAGTAAACAGTGGAATTTCAGGAATCAGAGGATTTATTTGGGTTCCCATCCCAGAGTAGGAAACTCTGGCAGGGACACTCCATCAGAACTGACCTCTTCAGTGACGATCGAGATAGCACCTGTGCAGCCTGGTTCATGGCTCTGATCCAGGCGTTCATGTCCTCCTGGGTGTCAGCACTGAAGTAGTAGGTCCTCATGCCTGACTGCTCAGCCTGAGAGCCCACCGTAGAGCTGTTGTAGATGAGTGCTCGCATCCCTGTGTGCACAGCCTGTAAGCATGGAGATGGAAATCCAGGACAAAGAGAGTTTAGTACACATTTCCCATCTAGGAGCAAGAAGGAGGAAACAGCTGGCCATGTTCTTCCCCTTCCAGACTAAAAACTGCAGCACCAACCAGCTTGGTTCCACACCTGGAAAATGTCAAGGGCTAGATTCTGCTTCCTTAGTGCTGTAAGGCCCAGTGAGAGCTATGTCTGTTGTCCATAAGAAAAGCCCTGCAGCTATTTCCTATTTATCCTGTTTCTACTTATCAAGGAGCACAGAGGCTATGCTTATTTAAGAACCGTGTGTGTGTGTGTGTGTGTGTGTGTGTGTGTGTGTGTGTGTTGCTATAGACCAAACCCAGGGCCTCAAGCATGCTAGGCAAGTATTCTACCCTTTGTCACATCCCTAGCCCCAGAAACAGACTTTTTTTTTTTTAATCCCTATTCAGTAAAAGTAGACTCTTAGGATTCCCTGTTTTTGTTTGTCTGAAGCACATAATTCCTGGTTTGGCTAAAATCAGACAAGAACTGAGTCAAAATCAGCTGCAGCAACATGTGGCTTGGTGCTGACTTTCATCAAGAGAATGCCCCCTTCATATCTCACTGAAAGAACATTGTCCAAGGGACCTTTATACACAGCAAGGTGTCTCTATAGAAACAAATGGGGCCCATGCCCACTGTGCTTCAACTGCATGGCACAAATGTGATGCATTTCCACCATAGAAGCTGGTATCCTGTCTCTTTGAATAGTCACTACAGAGTTGGAGAGCTAAGTGCTTCTGTCTCAAGGTGCTTTCTGGGAAGAGGTGCTGGGCATGACCCCTGAAAAGCAACTGGGATGGTCTGCAAACAAGAGGCTACACTAGTTTCTCTTCCTGTGCTCTGATAAGTAGAGACCAATTTTTTAAAATTTGCAAGTAAAATCTCACCCAATATACATAGGAAGATGGTATAGAAATAAGATTTACTGAGTGCCTACTTCGTGTCTCCTAAGTATTTCCATGATTTCAGTCTCATTTTAATCCCAATAGCCTTGAGAATACAGACAGGATCTCTGTTTTACAGATGCATCAAATGAAGCTCTGAGATGTTAGGTAAATTTCCCAGATAGCAGGTTCTTCATAACACTTATCATTAGCTGGTACTATTAATTTTACACACTTGTTTGTCACCAGGTTATCATCTGTCTCTTCCTCTGGATTATAAATTCCACGAGAGCAGGAACCTTTTCTATCTCGTGTACTACTGTATCCCCAGGAAGAGTGTTTGGCACATAGTAGATATTAAATAAATATGTGTTAAATGAATGAAGGAAGAGTTGGAGCCCAGGTCTGACTTCACATCCAGGCTTCTCTGTACAATGCTTGCAGGTCCTCTCCAGAAATGAAGGTGATTATACAGATCACTGGTCCTATAATCTGTTTCCAGAATGAAAGGCAGACTCCACTAAGGACCAAAAACAATTTAAAAAGTAAAATCAAAAGCAAGAAGATTGCACGCTTCCAAAATGGGTGAATGAAAACTTCTCAGATGAACCTTCAGAATTTATTTCTCCTTACATTTAACATCTGAGTCTAAAATACACATTAAATGTGGACCTCTTCTGACATTCACATGTCCGAGTTCACCCAGCCCAGTGTTAAAGGAGTCTAGGCAAACTTGGCCTTCATTCAAAGCCCCTACAGTGACTGAAGAAACCTTACATTCTTCCTTTGTATATCTTAGGGGTATCTCTGATCCGAGGATGGATTCCTCCATCTTAGCAAGGTGGAAATGCAGCAATAAGAAAGAGAAGGAACTTATTCATGTCTTATTGAGAATCAGCATGTGTCTCCTGAGTATTCTTAGCGTGTTCTGCCTTGATACAGAGGGTTCTGGGACAGGCGCTCACCCCACCAGACACAACACAGTGAATTCTCTAAGGCATACTAGAAATGGTAGGTCTCTGCTGTACAAGAATTCATGTAGCCAGCCTTGTCCAGGAATCAGCCCAGGACATGCCTCAAGCATGCAGACATGAGTTTGCACGTCTGTCAACAAATGGGCCTTAAGAGTTGCACCTAGCATCACAGAGGAGTTATGCAAGATCACAAATATAAACTCATTCTCTAATCAAACTGTAGCAGGTGTGTGCCTGCTGCTCTTGGCTCTGAAGAACAGGTTCCCAAATGCATGCTGCCTGTGCTGGTGCATATTAGATATATTAACTGTGAGGGCAAGAAGGACTGGAGCTCCCATTTCATCTGGCCAAATGACCCAAGCCCAAGATTTCCTGAGCCTGAGGAAGATGCCAGGGCCCAGATGACCTGAAGTCTCCTCTTTCCTCCCTAGTCTCATCTAGGAAATGACCTCTTCCTCTCTCTTCTTTGCTTCTTGGTTAACAAAATCCTACTTGGCAACTTATCTATGACTGAACAGAAACCAGGCTATGCCTAAAAAAAAAATGAGGCTATGAGCAAGGAAGCATTTCCCTCAAAAAACATAATGTACCTAGGATGTGACTGCTCTGCTGGCTCTTAAACCTCAGGTCTTGACACAGCAATTGGTGAAGGGAGCCAGAATCCTTCTACTTCAAGCCCCTCAGGACAGCCTTTAGAACAGGAAAAAAAAAAAACTTATGTGGGAAATAAAGGAACACCCAGAAGGCCAGGGCCCACCAACTGGTTGATCCTCCTTGAGCTTATTCATGCAACAATAATTCATCATTTATTGTTTACTAGATAGAAAAGTGTGTCCTAAAAGTTGGAGGGGCAGCCTGAAAAAAGGCCATCACAGTTTACAGACAAGTAGGAAAAGCCCTAGGACAAGGATCTACAATCATAGTAAATGTTATCAAAAGGTTCAGGATGCTGTGAGAGGGCAATGGGAACATGGCCTGACCCAGAAAATGACTTAGAGGAACTGACATTCAAGCTGTCTTCCACATGATAAGCAGCTACTTAGTAGGAGTAGCAGGGCGGAGAGGCCACAACCCTAAGAAGGACGAGAGCACAGAGTATTCATCTTCAGGATGAAGCCAGCATGACTAGCATAGAGAAGTGGAGGGAAGAGCACCACTGGGAGAGCTTCAGCTCTGCAGAGAGAAGAGCCCAAGTTGTGAGGCCCAGGACACAGAACACTGCATTTCTTGGAATGTCTAAGAACACAGATTCTGAACTGCCCCACAGCCCACTCACTAGCACCGCAAGGAACAATGCTGCAACCCAAAGGGAAATCTTTCTGTCTCAGGAAAACAATGCCTTTTCTGCAGAACCTGCTGACCATAACCAGATCTGCAGAAGCTTTCTCTGCACTTTTAGACCCTGATGACCCCAAATACCCCTAAACACATGATGCCTTCTGTCTCCCAGATTTGGGAGATTTGGAGATTTGGAGAACATTCTTGGTGAAATCTGTTTTTTTTTTCCTTTTCCTTTCTTTTTTGGGATGTTGGGAGTTGAACTCAGGACCTCGTGTACACTAGGCAAGTGCTTAACCACTGAACTACATCCCCATCACTTGGTGAAGTCCTCCTAAGGAGGGAACAGGGAGAAAGAGGAGGGAGAGGGAGAGAGAAAGGGAGAAGAAGTAGTTTAACACACATATGTTTTCTTAGAATCTATTTTTATACTTCCCAATGAAGTGTTAAGATGAAATATATATATAGTCACAATAAGTCACTCTAAGGACATTCCAAATGCTGCTCCATCCCAAACCATGTGCGGCATGTTTGCCCAGAAGTGATGCTCAACCCAGAAAGGAGGGTTTTCTAAGGAAGACTTTTAGGCTGCAAAAGGCAAGTTCAAAAGCCATTGAACAATATGATTTCAGAACAGCTCCTGAGTTACAAAGGAGAGTTTCTAAACAATACAATAAATGATCATTCAAACCTCCTTTTACCTCCTGCAATGTGCAGGAAGTGACTGAGAGAAGGTATGAAAGGAAAAACAGAGAAGAAGAGTGAGAAACTGTCCCTCCTCCCTGTAATTCAAATGAAAGAGAATAGAATTCAGGGTAGAGTGTGGCCTCCATCATCTTCCAGCTTTGTGACTTTGGGCAAAGTTTCCAAAGCTCTCTGACCCCCACTTCCTTTATATATAAAATAGCCAATAATACTGACCTCTCAAGTTCTCCAGGAGCATTAAATGAGCTAACATGCATGAACGCACTTGGTTTTACAGATAGAAGGCAATACTATTCCATGCCTCAGAAGTGAAGGAAAATGCCAGAATCACAGATCTGTAGCAACTCTGGAGTAACACTTGACATGAGGGAAAGGGGAACTTCCACCTTTCCAGCAGCTCCAACCTGCTGATAAATGAAGCTGAAGTATCAGCTTATTCTGGGCTCCCTTGGAAAGGGAGGGTAGCAGGAAAGTAGGTGTTATGGTTTAGATGTGAGGTAGCCCCCAAGGCTCAAGTATGAGACAATGCAAGAAAGCTTAGAGGTGAAATGATTGGTTTCTAAGAGTGTGAACCCAATCAGTGCATTTATCCCATTTATCCACGGATAGGGATTAACTGAATGGTAACTGTAGGCAGTCAGGGAGTGACTAAAGGAGGTGGTCTCTGGAGGCATGCCTTTGGGGCATATATTTTGCCCTTGTTGAAAGGAGCTCTCTTTGTCTGCTTCCTGGTGAGATGTCCTAAGCCACTTTTCTCCACCATACTCTTCCGACATAGTGTCCTGCCTCACCTAAAGCTCTGAGAAATGGAGCCAGCTATCTATGGACTGAGAACTCTGAAACCATGAGCCCCCAAATAAACTTTTCCTCCTCTAATTATTCTTGTCAGGTCTTTTGGTCACAATAGTGAAAAAGATGACTAAAACAGTAGGTGACACCATAGATTCAGTAAGCACCACCATAGATTCCAGTTCAAGATGCTGGTGCAGAAGATCACTTGAAAAAGCCTCTCACAGACTGAGGACCAAATGATAACACCCCAGCCACTACATGTTAACACTGGCCAGCCCTTCCAGAGAATGGCGGGTGTCCTGACTGGGCCTTTTCCATGGTCTTTCAACTATCTATGCCTGGAAAAGGTGACTCTGCTATAATGCCTGCTGCCTAATTCTCACTTTGTACCCCCAACATAAGAGAGCCAAGTGAGAGGAATAGTAGGGTCAGGAGACCCTACCCAGCTTGAAGTGCATGGTATTCTCTTTACCCTGAGCAGCTGTGAGAGGGCAGGGATTCTCTTCTACTGTCACCAGGGCTATTGCTGCAAAGTTCTCTGGGACTTCTGCTCCAAATGCTGTAAACTGAATTGCCACTTAGTACAACTGATGATCCCCTCACCATTCTTGAGGGACCCAAGAAGTACTGCAGTGAAGGAATCTGTGGAGGCCACCAATGGAGAAGGCCTCAGGACTCCCAAGTTTGGGATTAACCACCATCTTCCTACAACCTCCACACAACTGTCAGAGTGCACCAAAGGACTGTCACCAATGATCTCAGCCCCACGCACTCCAAATGGCATGACACAAAGGAAGCAGAAAAGGGGTTCTGCTGGTGGAAACATCTGCCTGGGGATCCAGAAATTTGATCAATTTCATTCTAATGACTTTACCACAAGATAAATAAAGTGAACAAACCTGACAGTTTCTTCAACATGCAGGCTCCCATCCCTCAACGTGAGGACTCATAATTTAATTGACATAAATCCATTGTGGGGATCATCAATTACACTAAATGGGTGGATACTGGATACACTGGCTGATTAAGTTGATAAGAAAGCAATATATAGTAGCGGGGGAGGGGAGGGGCTAATACTTGAACAAAGCTGGAGGACTCCAAAGTTCAGATCCACATGAAATTACTATTGACATATTATTCTAGTTTAAATAATTTATATATTTGTTAATCTGAGTCTGAAACTCTATAGCTTCCTAACCGACTTCCCTCCTCCCAAAAGCAACTGGGTGTATAAAGGCATTTTTCAGAACAGCTTAACATGGAATTGATGCAGAAGAGAGAGAAGGGGCACTACCTTAAAGGAGTACTTGCGACTTATGCGATCCTCAGGGGCCACAGGTGAGATCACATAGCTGGGTAGAGGAATGCTCCCCAGGACCACTTCTTCTCGGCTGTCTTTGAATGGAAAAACACATTAGAACAACCTTCTGGGTACCCTGTTAAGGGCTTCTTCTCTCTCCCTGGGACTATGGCCATCTCCTCTTCATGAATCATTTAGACACTCCCTGGGCACTTATGTGCAATGCTGGAACTATTAAGGTGAACCACACACAGGGCACTCCCCCCAAGAGCAGAGAGAATCACATGAGCACACTCAAATCAACCTGGAAAGGGGCAGTATGGTCCAGGCTGTGAGGAAGTTGAGAAGGCTTTAGAAAGTGTTTGAAGTCTTTTCAAGGACAGGGAGGCACATTCTGGATGGGGCAAACCTCATTGGCAAAGTTACAAGACTGTGTGAAAAATCCTACCTTCTAGTTCTATTCTCTCTTCCTCTAAACCATCTTCTTAACCAGTGGTGTCTTACTGCCTATGGAGAGGGTCCTGTTGCTCTGACTTAAAGGCACTCTCTGATTCCTCATTGGACACAAAGTCAAATTCGCCGTGTCTACGGGTGACAGCCCTTTCATTTTGGCCCTTATTCATCTCTGGACTTTATCTTCTAGTATATTCTCTATGCAAGACTCAACTTGGCCAGAAGGTCTCTTACTTTACTTTGTTCTGCTCCTAGAACTTTACTCAAAGTTGTATCCTCTCTTCATGATAGGCATGAAGAGAGGCAAAGCTCTACCCATCCTGAAAAGCCCAACTCAAATCCTATCTCTTCTAAAAAATCCTTCTCAGATTCTCTAATATAATTCACTTGTTGCTCCCCCTGAACCACCTAAGGACTTCAGATGTCTTTTAAAGCATCAATCATAGTCTAGTCTTGTCTGGTAAGTGTCTTTCTCTCCTCCATATTTGAGACTTCCTTCTCAACACTGCCCAGTCCCAAACTTAATGTGGTCCTCCATAAATACTCAGATGGTCAATTCAATTCACCAACTGCCCATCCGACATCAAAGAGGACAAATCAGATGACAGGTTACAAAATATAATTTATCTATACTTCTCACCTCACCAGATTGCCTCCAAGGTGTAACTATATTTCAAGTAGGGCGAACCTGATTTTCTGGATTTTGAGACCCTAAGTAGTAAACAAACTGGATTCTATTTCCTTGAAATCAATAGCCTGACTTTCCAGTGCTAAGACTGGTAAAAGTGAAGTCACCAATCATACTTGAACAAATAAAAACATGGCCAGGCACGGTAGGGCACACCTATAATCCCAGCAGCTCAGGAGGCTGAGGCAGGAGGATGCAAGTTCAAAGCCAGCCCCAGCAAAAGTGAGGCACTAAGCAACTCAGTGACACCCTGTCTCTAAATAAAATACAAAATAGGGTTGGGGATGTGGCTCAGTGGTTGAGTGCCCCTGAGTTCAATCCGCAGTATCAAAAAAAAAAAAAAAAAAAAAAAAAACCACACACTTTGACAGGGTAATAGGCTACTAATTAGCTCAGACTATTAATTTGTCTACTGGATTTAAGAAAACCACCAATTGTGTGCCCTTACCACCATTCTCTAACACAAACAGTTCTTGGTTGGCTGAGCCTTAAACTCACCTTTATAGTAAAACAAGCAGTAATCAGCAAGCACAAACCACCTCCTTTTCCACAGTCTCATCCCAGAACTGTCCTGCAAAGCAAAGAAAAGCAGTCAGGACACTATCTGAGCATACTGTTCCACCCCAATCATGTACAACCTAATAACCTAATTCTGGATCCAAGACTTGCCCATATTCACTCTTTCAATAAATTAATAAATATTTTATTGAATAGTTATTCTTTGAATAGGGCATTAAATTAGATTCAATGTTGGTTTATCACAGGAGGGTGTTTTTTTTTTTGGTTCCAGGAAACAAATTATTATAATCCACCTTATTCTAGAAAGGAAAATGTGAATTCAAAAGTACAGGTCTCCTATTAATAAAGGGATCAGCTCTTAACAAAAGGAAGTTTTTTATTTTGTTTTGTGCTGTAAAATATCTTCATTTGGGCTGATTAGAAAACTGAATTTGCATAGTATTGAATATAGTTTAAGTTAGCTAATTAATTAATTGAAGTAATGTTCCCTTTTAACTAAGCTCAGTTCTCTATGATAAGGAACTGATTTTGTTGTTTTACTTCCATTCAATGTGGAGATTGGATTTTCTTTGCTATAAAATTTCCTTATAAAAAGAGTCTGGCTTTACTCATCTGAAATGTAAAACTTTACATTTATTAAGAACATTTTAGTGAGGCTGGCTAGGGTTGTGGCTCAGCAGTAGACTGCTGGCCTACCAACTGTGAGGCCCTGGGTTTGATTGATCCTCAGCACCACATAAAAATAAAGAAAGAAAATAAAGGTATTGTGTCCACTACAACAACAACAAAAATAAATATATAAAAAAAGAACATTTTAGTGGGGAATGAGATTGATCAAATTATGTGTATGTACGAATATAGCATAATAAATCCCACTAGTGTATAATTATAATGCACCAATTAAAAAAAAAACATTTGAAAAATAAAAATAAAGGTAATATGTTCAACTACAACTATGAAAAAAAAAGAACATTTTAAATAACTATAAAAATTCAAAAAATATGGCCAAGGGAGGAAATTAGCAATGTTTCTAGGGTCAGTTCTCCTCAAAACTTAAGAAAATCTCAGAGCTGTTTTTACCTAAAGTTGTTAAAATTCATCTTCCTTATACAGAAGTTGTTTGACAGGCTTGAATTAAAATAAAAACAAAATAAAACCTGACAATTTCTAAACCTAAACATGAGGTTTGTTCATCCTTCTATCAAACTGCTAAAACCAAATTTAACTTGATGATGTCATCCATTTATCAATTTTACCTCCTCCAAATTGACCAGATTATTTCTGAGGTCTTGGCACACAATACCTGCTTCCTTTTTAATGGGATTACCCATCCTGCCATACCTAGTGCCAACATCACTTATCCTGGGAAGCCTTTCAGAACTCCCCAGGCACAGCTACACTCTGCTGTGTCCAGAGTGTTCTACACAGACCTGTTCTGGGTACAGCACAGTCACTGGGTCAGCAAGGGCATGGAAAGAGGGGAGAAAAATTATTTACGATCCCTTCCCTCTCCTTCCATGTTTCCAAGGAGCATCCTTTGTTCAACAGGGACAGTCATACACATGGAAAAAAAATCAGAGATTAAATTACTCAAATAGAAAAGAGATGTAGTTAAAAGAGAGGAGAACAGAAGCTGTGAGGCGTTGGGGGTGGGAGCAATAGTTTGGGGCCAGAGGCAGATCTGACAGAAGAGACTGAGCACTGTGAAAGCTGTACCAAGAAACAGAACTGGGGAAATACACATCAAATGAACTTTTTGGGAATGTTCCCATGTAGTGTGCAACATAATGTCCTTCTCTGACTTCCCACAAAGGATTTTTCAAAATGGATATCATAGCTCTTGGAATTTGATTGGTGGCTTTTGGGGATGCTGACAGGTAGCACAGCATAGGTAGATAGGATGCTATGACAAGATGGATAACAATGTGACATAAGAGATGTGCTGTTTCCCTTGGCAGATGATGAGCTCCTTGAAGACAGGAACCACATGTCACTTATCTCTTTATAGGCTCTGTGAGAGCATTCAGAACATGGCAAACACTTGGGAAGCAAATGAATGAATGGCAAGGAGAGAAGAAAGGGGACAAAAGAGACACCATCCTGGGAGCTCATAGCCCAGCATGGCCATAGGACTAGAAGTGGATAAACTTGGGGTTGGAGATGAAGCATGGCCTGGGGGAGACAGAGATATCACTTCCTCACTGAATGGAAGTGGGAGAAGAAGGAGCAGGTGATGGTTCTGAGGTCTCTAACCTGTGTGCCCAGGAGAGTAGGTATAGTACCCACATTATTAAGATCCAGAAAAAACAGGCTAGGGGAAAGAGAAGTAAGGGGTGTGGAAACAATGAGCTGAGTCTGGCTGATTTGGAATTTGGGGTGCTAAAGATATGTGTGCTAGAAAAGAGAGAGGAAAAGACGGGACTTTTTCAGTCAAATGATAATAAAGACTTTAACATCAGGAAGGCAGGTTCTAGTAGAGATTAGTGGTAAGGTTGAATTCAGGCTGACCCATTCACACTATGGCCTGAGTCCCAGGTCAGCCGACAGTACCAGTGGTCAGAGGTTGAGTGGGTTTTGGGAGAGAAGCTGTAACCCTTCAGCAGCCAGTCCACTCATAAAAAATGAACAGCAAATCACTCAGCATGGTGAGCAGAATGCACCTGTCCCCACACAAACTTGGGAGCAAAAATTTTTGTGCCTCTTCCTGTGTGTCCTGGGACCAGGAAAAAGAAGGAATGCAGCAAGGGCCATCCCTCTACCTCCCACTCCTCAGCCTCCTCACCTGCTTGTGCAGCCAGCCCCTTACCACCACTGGAACATTGGGGTTTCTCCGAATGGCCTGTTCCCTCTTCCCAAAACTGTGGACTTTATTGCTGGACTTAATGATCTAGGAAAAAGCAGAGTTAAACTCTAGCAGCAGGGAATTTAGGGAGGCGCAAGAAAGCACTTGTGGTAGGAAGGCTGTTGGCCCTCGCTGCTTTACTCTAAGTGGCAGCACCCTTTGATCAAAACAGCAACGAGACAGAGAATAGGCATGCACATGGCCATAGCATTCTAATTAAAAAGCAAGCTCAAGACCTGGCAAGCCTCCCAGCTGGGTCACAAAGAAAAAATTTAAAGGGATTTTTCAACCAACTCACCAGCAGCTGTTGTCTCTAATATGTCTATGGCTCTCTGGTGTAAAGCTATTTTTTGGTCATAGATGTCTTGCCTATGTCCTGATCTTTACCCTCCTGTCTGGGTTTGCCCTTCAATATTCTCCCCCATTCTGCAATGCTGACTCTTCTCCCTGATCTTTAGTCAGTGTTCCCACACACTGAGCACAGGAACTTTGGTGCTCTTTCCAAGGACACCCTTCCTCAGGTCCATCTGTCACAGAATCTCATCAGGCTTTAACACACAGCCCATAGGAACAACAGTGTGGCCTTCTCAACACATGCCAGGAAAGTAGAGAATGTGTTCAAGGACCCAGATATCAGTCCTGGTCTTTCAGCAATCACCCATTTTCTTGGACAAGGGACATAATGCCTCCTGACCTCAATATCCTGGGCTGGGATTGTGGCTCAGTGTTAGCATATGCCTAGCATGTGTGAGGCACTGGGTTCAATTCTAAGCACCACATGTAAATAAATAAAACAAAGGTCCATTGACAACTAAAAAAATATTTTTAAAAAAATATCCTGACCTATCACTTAGGGAGGATACTTCTTAGGGATCTCCCTCACAAAACTATGGTGACGATCGAATGGGCCTCTGATTATAAGGGAGCTTGGCAAAATACAAAAGGGAAAGATGGAACCAGTGGCCAGGAACTCACCTTGGGTCCAGGCTTGGCCTCCAGGGTAGATGTCGTACCAGCTGTGGATGTTTCACTGACCATGCTGGATGGTCTTTGGTTTCTCTCTTGCTTTGACATATGTGGGTTTGGCCTGTGGGGAGACATGGGAATCCAATGTGTTAGTGCCAAGCTGAGGAGTAGGAAGTGGTAGCAGAGATTTGTTGCATGTTGGAATTGGTTGCTTGGCCTTAGATTCAGGCCAGATTTTTTAGACTACCTGACTCCAGACTACAGCAGAAGGGCCTGCCCTAGTGCTTCAGGGAACCAAGAGAAAGACAGATGGGCACATTTCCACAGCCAGACAGCCACAAAGGCGCCCAGACTGTCATCCCTGCCTGTTGTCCTAAGGTCCTCATACTTGCTGTCCTACTTGGGTGTCTGTGACAACTGCCCCATCAGATGGGCACACACTATTCTTCACAGGAGGCAAGAGCAATTCATACCCTTATACACACACACACAAACACACACACCTCTATTTCCCTGACTCCCAAAAGAAACTGTTTATAATTAGTAACAAGAAATCACTTGCGCACACATGCACACCCCCATATACACAGAGAATGCTTACATAAATGCCGATGGGGCTTGCCTCCCAAAATAGACTACTCAACAAAGAGTACTATTCTGGGAACACTCCATTTGCCCCAAAATAGAGCCATAAAAGATATTAACCCCTTGTACTATGCCTGGAGAGGCAGAAGAGATGAAGCCTTCCGTGCACCCCAATGAGGATCCCTGGTGCTTCCCTATCAGCATCCCAGAGATGCAGTACATTCCACTGAGAAGTTGCCCTGGGAGGGCCAGCACACTGGGGACATCTTGGCTCGACACTAAAGAGACACTTGAGAGCATTCTCCTCACCTGCCTCCACAAAGCCCCTGCATCTGCCAGTCTTTCAAAGCAGTGGTGACAAATACCTCCACACAAATTCAATACCTCTCTCGAACAGTTCAATACCAGATTCCAAGACCTTGCCAACTCCAGGACCAGTAAGCTTCCCTTTAAGAAGAAGTCTCAGTGTTTGGTGGCTGGGTTTTGTCCACTGTTCTGACAGGCAACAGGATCCAGGCAGTTTGATGCCAGTCAGACTATAATAAATTGAGACTCGCTGCCTGAAGAATAGAAAAAAATCACCCAGAGTCCTACTATCCAAATGCTTGATATATTTATACTGTACCAGGACCCTGAAGTGATGGAGCTGGAGAATCCAGCCAGTCACAACCAAATAAAAAAGCACTTGAGATGTCCTTCAAGAGGCTCACTTTTCAAGAGGTGTGATGGAGAAATTCCAGTTTCCACTGTAGAGATTCGATGCTCTCTTCAAAGAACAGTGCTGCTCAAAGGAGAAGTGAACTTTCACATGCTCTGAGCCAAAGCCCCAGCCCTCTGTACCAGGAGGGAAATTCTCCACACAAGTCTCCGTGACTACTGTGCCCCCAGAGCAGTTCCAGCAGCAGGACCACTGTAGCAAGCTTTCCAAGGGGCCAGGCCCTGTGGGATGCTTGGCAGCTGGAGGTGCACATCCCACCAGCAGAAAGATCACTGGCTCCTTATCAGCTCAGGCACTTACTTCAGATTCCCCGCCCCCGGCCTCCATCCCAGCCAGACTTTTGTTATTGCTCCCCACTCAGAAGGAGAATGTCACCATGCTCAGCAGCTCCCCTGTTGGCAGACACTGTGTGCAGTGAGAGATAATCACCATTTGGGGGTGGGAAGGGGCTCTGAGAGGCTGCCTTTTTCATCCCCTGCTTCCAGGCAGAACTGTCTGAAACATGGTTTTCAGCTGGTTTTACCTAACTTTAGATTTCCAGAGGGGGAAATAAGGAAGAAGAGCTCTCAAGTTAAGGCAGATGACTGAATCTCTAGTCAAAATTCAGGACATACAGTCCAATGATAGAAAAGATTTGTCTGGGATCTTATCAAATTTAATTTGCTCTCACTTAAGCTACTAATAGAGTCTTATTATATATGGAATATTTGAGAAATATAAGAAAAAGCTAAAAGCAGAGTAAATAAAATCACCCAGAGTCCTACTATCCAAATGCTTGATATATTTATATCCACTCTTTTTTTTTATGCCTGTTTTGGGTTTTAGGGGGTGGGCACTTTTTGGTTTTTACATAATTGTGATCGTGCACTTACATCTTCATTTTTTAAACCACTGTAAAATCATCAACATGATTTTAAATGACTACCTCATTTTCCACCAATGGAAAATGAGACACCCAATATCTTCTCTGTAGGACAAAGATTTGTGATTGATCCTGGAAATCCAGAACAAATGGATACGGTTGCCATTTCTGTACCTTACAATTTTGAGTTCTAACTACCTCCTCACATGTTCTAACCCCCAGCACTCCCCAGCCCCTCTCTAGTGGAAGAAAGATGGCAGCCTTGGGTAAGCCAGGAAAGAGGGTATGACAGCCATGTGGCGAGCCATCTATGAACAGATTTTGGCTATAGAAGGACTGGTTGTGGCTATAACTCTGGACATCAGTGAATGACAGCAGTAGATGGGGGAGGAAAAGAAAGGAACATACAATGACAATTCTAGTTCTCATGCACTGTGCTGCTCAGCCACACCCAAAGGAAGCTTATGAGAAGACACAGATGAAAGTCCAAATTCAATTTGCCCCAGGGAAGAGACTGAGTTGTCTATATGAACACAGAGCATGTCCTCCCCAGGGCCTCTCACAGGCAGGGACAGCTCCCAACTCAAGCCACAGACTTAGCCAAGACCTGGTTCTTTGAAAGATCAAGGGACAACACAGCTACCCACCCTGTCCAAGTAATAAGATCTGTCTTCAGTGGATATTCCTCTGAATCTCCTCAACACAGATCATGGTCTTTCAGATCCTTCATGGGCGATAAGTCTTTAGAAATAACTACAAGTTATCCAGAATTATAAAGTAGAAAAAACAATGGTGGTCATGCTTGGGGATACCACTTGGCATTAAATAGGAATATGAAAAAAGTTTCCAAATAATTTTTTTACTCGCCTGAAAAACTGGCTCTGATAGAAACTACTACTAGTGGTTCACCTCAAAAGCTTAGCAATGGGAACATCCTTGTGTGACACATTCGGAACAGATAACACTCCAAGGGATATCTCTCACTTGGATATGGGAATGCCAGTACATTTGTTCCAGCCAATTTCATCTTACAGGGGTGTTCCCCACCTAAAAGCCTGGGAAGACACTGATTTGTCCTCAAATCCTCAAACTGGGTGTACAGTACTGGTAAGTCTCAACCAAGAAATGTTCCCATCCCAGAGAAGTGTGTCCCTGAACAAAGCAACTGTGAAAAACACATGCCCCTGGCATGCCCTCAGGCACATTGAGTCATGCAGATCCCTGGGACAGGAGACCAAACAACCTGCACATGCAGACTCTTGGTGTCATTAAACAAAATCTATTAACTTAAAAGCCTGCTTGCTGGGTTTCTGTGCTATCTGGATTCCCAGTACAGTGGGATGGTTTGAACAAAGACCTCACTTTCCTTGGTTTAAGCTACATGAATGCCAATTATTTTGCTGGAGGGCTGTGGGCTGAAGTTCAAAACAGAGAGCTAGAGTTTTTGCTCAACTGCCTCCCATGGGAAATGCACAAGAGAAGCAAGGACTAGATAAAGTCAATCTGGGGGGAAAAAAAAAACAGTTGAAGAATGACTAATTCTACTATGAACTTTGTCAAGGATGTTTCAGGGGAGCCTAGGCAGGAAATGGCTTTCTCTATGCTTCGATTTCCCCATCTGTATAAGGAGCTGCCTTCTGCTTCCTGCATGTCCAGAACCAAATGCACAAAACATTGATAGATATAGCTAGAAAGGAAAATTATGAGTACAGAAGTCTTGTTTTTTTTTTTTTCAATAGGTCTGCATTTGGAGAAATTTGTTTAAGGAGCCTTAGCTGCCGCTCAATCAATGGCATGAACTGAAGCACTAAAGAGGGATCATAGCAAGACCATTCCCTATTCTATATGTCACAAGAGTTAGGACAAGGACAACCAACCCTGAAGGATAGGTATGAAAGGTCAAGCAGGTAAAGGGACTAGGTGGCACTTGTCAAGCACCTACTATGGCCCTTTCCCTGTATTACTTTAGTTTTACCATCTCCATTTTGTAGATGAGGAAATTGAGTCCCAGAGAGATTAATGACTTGCTTAAGACAATAGCTGAACCCTGAAGCCTGAGCTTTGCCACACAGACTGTTCCATGACAAGTCCTGAGGTCTGAGAGAAGTGGGTTTTGGTTCTTAACCCCAAGGCCATGCCCAAACCAGTGGGATCCTGGGGTATTGGAAAGAGCAAGAGCCCAGGTAACTGGATCTCGGCCAAGCTCTGAAGCTTACTGACTCCCCCACAAATCACATCCAGATCCTTGAGTCTCCGTTTCCATTTTGTAAAATGGAGTGAAAATTGCCTTTCATCTCACAAGGCAATTATATGTATTGAAATGACACTTTGAAAACCATGAAGCACTGCATGAAATGAAATGCATTACTCGTGACTGTTACTAGTGGAGACCCCAGAATTTAAATCCCACCTACAGTTTATTTTTATTTTGAAGGCACTTCTCTCCAGAAAACTCAAGGTGCCAAACAATTAGTTTATAAACAACGATCACTTCCTATAAAAACAAAGAGTGCTTTATCTGTGAATTTTTTAAAAATATTTTTTATTAGGGGTTGGGGTTATGGCTCAGTGATAGAGTGCTCGCCTAGCATGCATGGGGCACTGGGTTCAATCCTCAGCACCACATAAAAATAAAATAAAGACATTGTGTCCACCTAAAACTAAAAAATAAATTAAAAATTATTTTTTAAAAAGTATTTTTTATTATAGATGGACATAATACCTTTATTTATTTTTTATGTGTTGCTGAGAATCGAATCCAGTGCCTTACACATGCAAGACAAGCACTCTCCTACTGAGCCACAACCTCAGCCCTTTATCTGGGAATTTTTTGTTGTCATTGTTGTTAAAGTTTATAAACTCTGTGGAATAACCCATTCTGAAATAGTGTCAAGAGTCATTAAGACTATAGCAGGAAGTTAGAAAGCTATGGGGAAATAAGGATCTCTTACTGAAA